CTGTACCTAAAGAATATTCAAATAAATTATGGTCAAAGTTCAAATAATTCTAAAATCTTTCGATTTTAGTAATGACGTTATTTTGTGTACCAAAGACAGTGATAGTGTGTCAATGACAACAGTGTGTCAATGACAGTAGATTTATTATTTATGATTGCGTTTACTGCGTTTAACCACATAATGGTAAAATTTGTCAAATATATCTACATCTAATTCCTTTTAGGGTATATAACTGTAATTTATATTGGAATATACTATGATATAATGTTATACAACTCTTGCCTCGCCTAAAGTAAATTATGATTAAACACAAAGTTTGTTTCTGATAGTTCAGTAGGTAGTATGCGCAATTGAAAATGGTTTTCTGACAATGACAAGTATCCATGCAAAGAGGATATATATTGGCGGTATAGTCACTTCCATTAAATAATTTGAAAAATACAAAATATGATATTTTATATGAAAAACATATCGAAGACAAATGTAATATTTTATAGGCTATATATATGATATTTACAATGTTATTTTCTATTAAATAACTTTTAGTAAATGGATTAAAATCCGTATAATAATCCTTTTTTTACGTATATTTCATATATTGTAAGGCCCATCAATTATTACGACCCACCTTGTCCACTTTTAACAGTACACTGGTGTGTTTGAAAATTGAAAATCATTCTGTCACAGAGTATGATAAAACAGAATAAAGCTAAAACAGTTTAAAATTTAATCCTCTTAAAACTGATTAGTTTTGTAAATATTTTATGCCTATCCCACTTATTATCATAATCTTAAAAAAGATTTAAAAATGGTTTAATAAAATTCTTAATATACTCTTACGGACTTTGTCTCAGGTCTAATTAGTTTTAAGATATTGTTTTAAAAATACTCCTAAGAACCGTTATAGGAATCTCTCTTTTATTCTTAAAGCAGATTTATAGGAGCCCTAAGGCTATCTTGCGGATTCAAAAGTTTCATCAGTGTCTTGAAAAAGGGCTTTATGGTTACCTTGTATACTTTGATAAATCTAAAAATGTTACTTGTGCTTTTAGTTCAAGAATATCACTTACAAATGAGTTTTGATCAATACGCAGCTGAAACAAATGTTCCAATAATAATTATTATTAATTTGGAGTGAGGGTTGTGGTACGCCCGTGGGAAACGTGACGTAGATGCTCGAAATTGACAGTCTGGCGTCCAAATTGTCATGCGTACCGACCGTTTTTTTACCCATGTCTGCTTTGAAATTAGGAGTAGGGTTTATGTTATATAGCCATCCAGTTTAATATCAAGGTCGGTGGTACCTACCTATAAAACAGCAGTTGTTGTAAAATGCAGGAATTATAGAAGGAATAGCTAAAATAAAACTTTATTATTAATTTACCTATGATTTTAATCAATATCTTTGAACACGTGTACGCAAATGAGTTGGATGTATGGATGAACGACCTACACAACAATACCACATATGACTACACTACGCAATACACGCATATGCAAGAGTAGAAATGAGAAAAGATCGTATCTCTATTATGCCATGTTCTTCGTATATATTGGGAATTTGTTATAAATGTGATATATTAAAAAAATATATGGATGTAATATGAATAAATATGTTACCGTGAAACTCCGAAAACCGGTGATTGTCAGAATATACCAGTGAATGTCAACATTCACCAAGTTACTTGGCGTATGTCCGATATATTCATTAATTATCATTATTTCTAACTATCACCGGTGAATGTCAACATTCATCATACACTCATGGTGTATGTCTAAAAGAATTTTTTATAGAAAGAAAACAAACACACTCTATAGGTTATTCTTATTTTATTTTCATTAAAACATGGAAGAAGTTTCCAAATGAACATAAAGTTGTTAAACTTAAAACAAACACAACAAACATATCTAATATTAATATAAAAATAAAATCCATTTTATCTAAACTAAAATTTAAAAAAAAATGAAGTAAATGTATGGCCACCTTATTTATTGCAACAGCTTAAGCTACCATGACATTTTGAATTACACAAAAGGCTCTTATTTTTACAGCTACATTTAGACGTGGAACATTTCTTTTTGCAGTTACAGCGTGTATAGCCTTGCCCTCCACTTTTTGAATTAGCAGAAGCTGCTTGTCTTACCGAAATTTCTTCAGCTGAAATCTCATCCATGGAAATTAACTTTTCTTTGCAAATTGCAAACTGATTACGGGTGAAAAGCTGCTTCAGGGTACCATTTTTGTTTGCTAACTTATAAAAGTCTGAATCCTCTACTCCAACAACAATGGCTAACACATTTCGGGGATCTGTACGACCACGGTCGACGTCAGGGACTTTAATTCTTACGGTATCACCAATTTGGGCGGCAGGAAACTTTTTTTTAGAAGTTCGCAACATTTTTGTTGCTTGGAGTAGTAGATTCTCTTTTGCAGCTACTCTTTTTGAATTAATAAGCTCGTGCTGCATAGTCAGTGCTTGAGATGAAGGCGTAATCGGTTGTAGATCAGTCAATGATTGAGTTGAAGACGTGCTGGGTTGCGGATTAGTCAACACTTCATATGAAGGCGTAATCGGTTGTAGATCAGTCAATGATTGAGTTGAAGACGTGCTGGGTTGCGGATTAGTCAACACTTCATATGAAGGCGTCTTGGATTGCGGATTAGTTAATACATAAGGTGAAGGTGGATTGGTCTCAACCATGTTACTTACATCTGAAACATGGTCATCAATTAAATTTTCTTCACAAGTATTAACGTAAGCTTCTAGCTGTTCCTCGGTTTCAATATTTGTAATTTGCTCGTTGGGGAGAGATGACGATGCTAGGCCTCTTTTTGATTTAACGCCAAACAAAGCTTCATAGGGACTTTGGCGTATTCCTTCATGGTAAGTTGAGTTTTTGGCGAATTGTACAAACGACAACCCTTCTGACCATTTATTTGAATCATTATCGTGCATCCACGCAGTTAACATATTCTGTATGTCCTGATTGGCTCTTTCGACTGAGCCTTGTGTTTGGCTGTGACGAGGCTTTCCGTGCACTATTTTAACATCTTTCCACATAGCGCATAGTTCAGATATGACTTGGTTACTGAACTCTCTGCCATTATCCGAATGCAATATAGCGGGAGCACCAAATATTAAAAAAATTTGAAGAAGGTGATATGCTACTTCTTCTGCTCTCTTGGTTTTTAACGGTCGTAACTGGACAAACTTGGTTAAGTGGTCTTGGTAAACCATTATAAATTTGTAATCGCCATCACTGTGTGATTGCAAGTCTATCAAATCGACTTGACATCTAGAGTTTAATTCGGAACTCACCATTGGTTTTACAACAATACCCTTTTTAGGCGCACTGTGTTTCATTTGACATTGTTTACACAAATTTAAATACAGCATTACGACTTCATAAGTTATATTTTTGTATTTTACTTGCAATTCTTTCAGCATTCGTGTTCTTCCTCCATGGCCTGTTCGTATGTGAGTTTCGGAAAGTATACTGAACAACTCTTCGTTCGTAACATAATACTGGATATTTGTTTCCCCTGGTTTTAATGGCACAATTAACTTTTGTTCGTCACTAACTTTTAAAATGTCAAAACGTTTTAAACGTCTGTAATCCAAAGGAGTACTGCACTTACTTTTAGCAGAAATTACTTCAGAAACGATTTTAGAGTACCTTTCTTGAGAAAAATAAAAACAATTGTCTTCTCGTTTACTTCTTATTAGGGTATTTAATTTTTCAAGAAATTGATCACTATTTACTGCAATAGCCATCGAGTACAAATTATATTACCGCTAACAATTAAACTTTTTGTAAGACTGGCGGGCGAGGCGACAAGCCCACACGAAAGCGAAGCGAAGAAACCACACAAAAGCCTGTTAGGACCTGTCGGTTCCGACATCGACCGAAACTTATATGTGTTTGTCGACATACACCGGTGAAGGGCCGAATTTATTATAAAACCAATAATTGTTCGGTCTTTCACCAATTCATTTGGTGTCTGTCGACATTAACCGGTGTATGTCAACAATCACCAATTTCGGAGTTTCACGGTAACAAATACACCAATAAGCTTTTAATATAAATAAACCTAAATGTATACAGATTATTTACTTTTGTCTACTAGTTTATCTACTGGAAATATTCGTGTAAGGTAAATTATATTAAAACGTATAAAATAACTAGTAACTACAAAAAAGAATCATTTAATATATCCGTTAAACAACGTCAAGCATAAAAATAGTAAATGGTTTGTCAAAAAATATGAATTTTGCTCAAGAATAAAGTACGTTTATTCATATTCATATATTTGACAAACCTCGTATACGGCTTGAAAAATTTGATATCTGATGACTCTATTTTAAGTTTTGGGTCATGCAGGACTTTTTATCAAGAATAACTTTTTTTCCTAAAATCAATAATAAAAATGTTTTCCATATGGTTCCAACTTAAGTAGACACACTGTATACGTTTTTCCGTTATTATATTAGCAATTTCTCACCTAATATAAATTGTTTTTTATTATTTTTGTATTTGTTAAATTACGCCAAGTTTGTAACATCCTAGTTAAGATCATATATGTATTTTAAGTTAATACTTATTATTTTAGATATAATTTTAGTATTAGTTCTTCTTTTTCCATTTTATTTTTCTTTAAGTTATCGAGGTTGAGTGGAAGAGGAGCTTCTATATTTGCTTATGCAAATCTGAAAGCTGAATTTTGCGTTTTGGCTAATTATTTTTAATAAATTATACTATTTTAATTTTATAATTTTCACATGCCAATAAAATCATATTTATTTATTTACTTATTACATCATTTTTATGAAACACACGCAGAATATTTTCTGTCATCTCGATTTTTCATTCGGAGACGTCACACCTCCATCCATAGTATCCAGACGAGACCACCGTATTATCTACGAACCGTGATCCCTCCTATCCCACCACGCTTTGGAATACATAGCGTTTCCAAGAAAACAATTAATTTAAAAATCGTTTTAATAATACTGTCAACAAAACTGACACCGTTAATTTTTGAATGCAAAAAGTACAATTTATCCTAAAGATATGGAAGACGAAACAAGATATCTTCATAGCAGATGCCAATTACTACATCAAGATGAAGAAATGATTAACGAACTAATACATACAGGTATTTTTATATCTTTTCGCAGAAATATCTGGAAGTGGTTTACACTTGATAAAAACCATCCCAATACTCAGTTATACTACCAGTCAGAGACTTCAAGAAGAGAAGAACAAAAGCGACATATTACTTTGTACAAGTACAGATTGATCATACATCCGTTTAGTCTTCACAACTTCTATTGGGAAATTTTCATGTTTTTTACATATATTTACATGCTAGTTGTTTACGCTTTGGATGATATGCACATATTTAGACGTGCATTTTCCATAAACGTTTTTAAACTTATCGGAGACTCTATTTTTCTCTTAGACGTCATCCATTTCTTTTTTCAAGGTTACTACAGTACCGAAAAAAGCAAAACCGTGCTGCTGCAGAAGCATATAATAGAACACTACCTAAAAACATACTTCCTTGTAGATTTGATAGCAATTTCGCCATCTATAGCTATAATTTGTGATTGGTTGGAATACATAGACGGTGAAAACAGTCCAATATTCTTGCTGGTATCGATATTTGGTATCGTAAGACTGTTACGCATTCCGCGCTGGTTGAATGTCATTGATCTTTTCAAATCGTACAAGGATTATCCGCATCACATCTTCAAAGCTGCCAAAATTATTTTCATATATGTAGTTTGTTTATTTGTTTCCTACACAGCGATGATCATACTGTTTAATAATATCTACGCAGTGAAACATACTCATTTATCGTTTAGCGCTAAACGCTATTTAGTCGCAACTATGATCATAATGCTAGCAGCTGTTGGATCTTCCGAACATTTAGACACTTACATTTACACAGTTGAAGTAATTATTGTGTTCACTATAGCTGCGTTTGTTTTGCAGATGTATCTCTACGCAAACATATTTAGAATGTGGAACATATTCTTTATTGCTAGGAATAAAATTTTCAATCACTTCCTTGAGATCCAGCACTATTTACAATCGCAAGGAATACCAATTGCTTTAAGGAACCGTGTGACCAATTTTATCGATTTCAAGTTCCAGATTAGATGTTACGATGAGGAAGACATCAATTATTTAGTGTCCCATGTATTGAGACAAAGAGTAATGTTGCATCTAGCCAGAAAGCACCTAGGAAATTGCCGTTTGATACAGAATCTACCTGACAGAATTCTTTTTAAACTCGTCGCCAAGTTCAATAGCGAAATATATTTACCGAATGATTTTATAATAGCGCCGGATTCCAGGAACAAACACCACAACATATACTTCATCTATTTCGGGAGAGTAGCTGTGTATGATTCGAAAGGGTCGGAAATTTGCCATTTGGAAGATGGCGAAAGTTTTGGCGAAGAAGATGCATTATGTAGATACATCAACATTGGATCTGTCGTAGCTGTAAGCGCTTGTGAATTGTTTAGACTACGAATAAAGGATCTGTTTAATATTTTGGAAGACTTTCCCGATTTAAAAGACACAATTATTACTGAAGCTCGAGAGAGACAATTAAGATTATCTGAAGCTTAAAAAGTGTTTGAGTTTATTATGAATTTATTGTTTCTTTTAATAAAAAAATAGTTTAATCTATATTTTTTATTACAATCTAATCAAAGAAATTATTAGGCAATTTTATTCTGACCTAACTTATCTAGAGGGTCGAAAAACTTCATAAAAGTAGGTAGTAGAATAATTTTCTTTACAAAAACCGAATTGGAAGCTTTCACGATGTTATCCACGAAGTTGCGGAATTATTATAGGAGAATGTGAGAGAGACTTGGTACATGAATTTTTTATGGTTATAATTCGAAATTGACTTTCAAAATTACATCAAGAAAGTATATTTGCATTATTACTGTCAGTTATTATGTGTTTAATGTCTTTTTCTGGTTGAAACTATTATAGTAGCTTAACGTGATTTACAGGAAAGTACAGGAATCAGTTGTAAGAGCTGGTTCATTTATAAAACGCGTGCTCGCACATTAGATAAACAAGCTCGAACAAATCATCCCCATAGATATATCACCAAGACAGATAGGATTATTAAAAATTTCTGAAGCCTCAACGTTAACATGTTGAAGCAATAATTATTTGTGACTACTAGACAAATGTATGCTATTTTATTTTTAATGGTCTCCACATTAAAGTTTTCATGGATATCAATGTTGCGGCAGTACCAGGGTGCATTGACGATAGTCCTTAATATTTATTTTAGAAGCGTTGAATAATTTGGATGCCACTTTTACAGGCACAGACCAAAGACGGATTTCAATATATGACTGTAATAATTGTTATATGTGGACAATTTTGTTTATTTCTCGAGTTGATGTGGACAGAATTAGTGATGCCGCGAGACGAAAGATTATCTCCCATTGGATCCTATGATTGAATGTTTACGTTATCCGTAACGTACATGTTAGGCCAAATTTTAACAGTAATGAGGCAAGTTCGTAAGATGGAAAACTTTTTCCAACATATTACTGTTATTTTCCGCCTGTTATGTTCTAATTTAACAGTTTTCCATCATACGAAGTTGCCTCGTTACTGTTAAAACTCGGTCTAACATGTACGTTACGGATAACGTAAACGTTCAATCATAGGACCCAATGCCTAACTAATTGGTGCGAAAAATGGTGCATACATGCGCATGTTTTATTTGAAACAGATTTGAAGCAGGCAAATGATGCGGACCGGGAACTGAAGAACTCACCATTTCTTATTTTCATATCTCATCGTTTTGAGTTCTCGAAATCTCGATAACCGATGATTTATGTTCTACCCCTGTATATGGTATATACAATATATGCATGTATTAGTAGGTGTTTCTCCCATAGACCTTTAAAAATACCATGGATATCGATCGTTGTCTCCTGTACACGCAACTCTGACCTTTATCTGACCAATATTCACACTATTTACTACAAAACGATTTCCAAAATTAGAACAACGTGCTGGTTTCGGAGTGTTTCGTGAACCGTTGTTTATTGTTAACTGTCAAAATACATTTTTAATGCATAATTTCGTAGTTAAAAACTCTTGCTAGAAATGTCCGCATAGTACAAAATTTGAATAATAAAATATGATTTTATGGTTTAAAACAATGTGTTCCTATCCTAAAACCTGCAAAAATTCGTAGGTAGGTACTTAAATTTAGTATTTTTAATAGTTGCTACTTAACTTAAGCAACCTTGAGAAGTCTTCTCTACGTATACCGCTATGCACGATTTTATTAATTGCATTCTGCATTGACCAAACGTTAGCTAAACAAAAAAGTCGACTGACGACACTCACTGACGTAAACCAAGAACCAAGTGAACAACGAACAACTGTGGGACCGTTACACAGACGAAATGGAATAAATAGATTTGTTGCATGGTATAAGATTTGTTGTATCTCTCTTCATCGTTATCAAATCATGTAAGTACATCCTTGTTTAAGGTGTAGTCACTGATGTTTATGTACCTATTTAATATTGATAAAAACGAAATTGTCAATCAGATTAAAATATTAAAATACTGTTTTAAACATTTTATAAGCAATGTTTTATTTTGTTGTTATTGCAGTTTCGGCTATTTTTTGTTTTTAAATGAATGAATTAAAATGTTTTATGAAATTTTACAACATAACCTCATTGTTCACATTTCACTCTTTGCAATTAAATATTAAATACTACAATACTAGGGATTTACCTGTTTAAGTTTTTAGATTCATTCTAGATACCCATTTCTTTAATATTATAAAAGGAGCATTTTTCACCACAAAATTTAATACAAAGTCACTAAAATGTTATTCTTTTTTTTATACCTATAGACATCGTTCATATAATCATGTTTATGTACGACGCTATAATAGGTATATAAAAATATTATGTCCTCTCAGTATAGGTAGGTATACTGCCCAAGGGCGGCTTCAAGACGAATTTTCGGGAGGGGGCCATTGCCTTTAGCCATCCCCTGTTTAGCATATTTTTTTGAATAAAATGCCCATAAATCGTAAGAATTTTCACCTCGGGAGGGGCATGGCCCCTCCCCTGGAGCCGCGCTTGATACTGCCCTCCTAAGCCAAAAAGCGGTATCTCACATGAAGCGAGTTTCGAGAAAATAGACATTTTCTAATAGTTGTTTTCGCGTTCCCTCGAATTGAAAATAACTATTTGTGTATTAAGAGTAAAAAGTGATACTTTGCCGCTTGAGACAAAAAGCGACAACGAATTTTTCTCTCATAAAGCATACAAGATTTTTTCTACGATCACATTATTTTAAGAAATAAATATAAAAACTGAAAATTTGTCATAACTAGTGTATAATCTCAAGTAACATTTTTAGGCGAAACAAGTTTTATTTGTTTTATTAGGATTTTGTAATAGCATAAAAATTAATAATTATTTTATTACAGTTATTTTTTGCCAATAGGGCTGCAGGATAAACTGATCCTATTACTTGGTTTTATGGATTCCTTTAGTGAATTAATAAGTAATTTTAGAACTATTTAGTTTGAATATACTCCTAAGGTGTGTTTGGTGTTAAAGAGGCATACTTTTTAGCAGTTATCATAATTATGTTTCAAAACCTAGTTTTAAAAAGTGTTTTAGGATTACACTTTAAATTAAATTGATCCCAGAACCTTTTAGGTACATTTTCTACAATTTTACAGTGCCTGAGGGCTCCGCAAATCCTTGGCGTTCCGCAAAGCGTTGGCGCTCCGCAAAGCCTTGGCGCTCTGCAAAGCCTTGGCGCTCCACAAAGCCTTTGTGGGGGCTCCGCGAAGAAAATAATAGTCATATTAAAAAAAAGAAGCAGTACTATGGCCACAAAAGGGAGGGACCTGGCTTGAGGACCTTTTTTTTAGAAGTCACTAAGAGCAAGGAGGATATATGATTGTGCTTGATGATTTTTTTTTTTAGAAGTGACTACGAGGACAGAGGATATGATTTAGCATGATGACCCTTTTTTTAGAAATGTGTTATTTAGGGCTCTGTCAAATATTTCGCTTTTCAAAAAGGTTCCTTCGCCAAAAAAAGTTTGAGAAACACTGTTCTACAGAAATAAGATTCTAACATTTTACGTTTTATTTTAATACTTTTACCTTAAGAATTTTTTGTTTTGTTATTTTAGTTTATGATTTACTTGCGTTTTTTCTCTCAAGCATTTTTTTGCAATATTGCATAGTGTGTTTTAAATTCAAGGCTCGTTATCCCGGTTAAGCCTCGATTTTTTTTTTTTTTTATTACGATAGATTAGAATATTGGGCCTACATCTACAGCACTAGCAAAAATTTCGAAGAAAAAATCGCAACAGCAAACTTTTTACAAAAACAAAAACGTTTTTCTAAATGTTAGTTTAACACCCTGTAACTTTGTTGGGAGCCAGTTTTTGATATAGGTAAATATAGCCAAATCCACTTATTTTTTGATAATTTATCTGAGGATGAATTTATGACATACCTTTTTGAACACCCTGTATATAGTATTCAATAAAACAGTAAATTTTGTAGTTTATTGTATTATGTTTAGTTAAGTCACAGTTTATAGCTATAAACTGTGGTTAAGTGGTATTACAAAAGTTAATTTATAATCGCTTTTCTTGAAAAATAAATGTTTTTGCGTTGTGCCGGTCTTGCTGTAAAGCAGCGATTTGACAAAAATTATTGAATTTAGTATTTGTTATTGTTACTGAAATTTGTTACTGAAAACGATTCCATAATGATAGTCAGATAATAATTTTATTTATTTTCTTTTCAGATTTACAATAAAATGTCATGCACCATTCATATTGATAATCCAGGTATATTTGGCCCTGGAGACATAATTACCGGATCGGTAAAATGTGTATTTGAAGAAAAACTAAATGTACGAGGTAATAAATATTTTTACAGACTTAAAAAGTTCGCTATTTATACGAATTCTAACCAACCGGCAAGATCACCAGATTTGACAGTACTCGGATATTTCTAGTAACACAAAAGTATTCATTTCACTTAAAAACTAAATTGTTTCCATTTGCAGCTATTAAATGTAGATTAAGAGGAAAAGAAAACACATTGTGGAGTGAACAGAGGGGAAGAAACCAAGTCCGATACTCAGGAGAACGTACTTTTTTAACTGGTGAAGTTTTATTTGTTGGAGAAGGTAATCGCATTGACAATCATAGTGTTATTTTTACATCAGATATAATGAAGTTTAAAGCCTATAATCTTCTGAGTAATTACTTTGATCTAATCCATGAGGTATGGAGGTGCCATGAGGCTATTGTTTCCATAAGATCGTTTAATTAATTAATATGACACATCTAGGCGTGACTTCTAAGCAGGGTTGTATTCAGGTCTAATAAGTCACGTGTGCAGAATTATTATACAATTAGTTATACAATACCATTATCTTATGGATCCTTCGAAATAAAGATGAGACGTTTAATTATATTTGCACGTGGGAAAAATAAAGAGAGACTCTCGTGAATCGGGTGACTGTCTGCCGTGTTTGGACAGATGGATACACCTCTACCGCTAGTGGACTGGCGTGTACTGTTTTACTTCTCTCTAATTCATAGCCTCTCTTATTCTATACAAGGGGTGGCCAATAAGTCGTTCGCGATCGCAAGGCCGCTTTTGGTCGATCGCCGGTCACTCGCAATGTCTAGGGTGGAATTCCGTGTACCATGGACTTTTTGTAGAAGATAAAACTTTCTTGCAATAGTTTAATGTATTCTGCGAATTTGCCAAGGTCATAGATTCCTAGAATTCTGACAGCCTGAAATTGTGATCTTTGCCAACCCAGCACAATACATTTTGACTTATGTGTTACACAGTGTTGCCAACCAATTTTAACAGAAATTCTCACACATGATTAAAAAAATCCATTTTTTTAATAATTATCAATGTTCATTTAATTCCCCTGGACGTGAGTTTTTTGCCCTTTAAATAATTATTGTTGTTGTTGTTGTTGTTGTTGTTGTTGTTTTTTACGTAGGTAGATAAGCCATATATCTATATTTCTGTATGAAGGGTACTCAGCGAGCTATTGATAGATTAGCAGAAAGTAAGTCATATTATTCTTTCATGATAAATTTTCCAGGCCCAAAAAAAATTATCAGTCATTTTTAAAACAACTTTTTCAACTTATGCACTGCAGTTGATAAAAAAATTATTTTCATTTTAAGTTAATAAACATATATCATATATACGGAATACCTGCTATCAAAATTTATTTTCTTCATAAGCCTATATCTCGAAAACATAATTAATAATTTAAAAAATTAAAAATAGCTTTCAACATATATTTTATTTATCTACCCATAACTCACTGGAATACACCTTATACTGAAACATAGTATGCATTTCACACCCCCTCTTCCCCCTTAGACTACGCCTATGACAACAAGTCAATCGCGATACATTTTTATGATAAAGAGTAGATCTTAGGTACAGAAAAGTTGGCCACCCCTGTTCTATAACGTCTTCTGGCGTAATTGAGGAAACTTACCATATTATACAACTAAGACTAAGACGTGACTCCTAGATTGTCAACCATTTTGTGACTTAATTAATAGAACAAACGACTTACCTGAAGGAAGTTCGTTCTATATTATGTGAGATATACTCGCCCAATTAGAATACACACGTAGTTTACACAATAGTGACTTTGTCGAGCACATTCTTTAAAGACACCTCATAAGCTAAAAAAACTATAATTCGCTGACGCCGGCCGACAGCCGATAATTATTAATCATTCATTACACTGTATAAAAACAATAAGCAATAATAATAATAATAAAAATAGATATATTTGTTTAAGGGAGGGACTAAGGGTGGGATTCTAATTGGACGAGTATATCTCATATAATATAGAACGAACTTCCTTCAGGTAAGTCGTTTGTTCTATTAATTATATTTCGATATACTCGACCAATTAGAATACACACGTAGTTATTTAAAGTCTAAATATAGATATTTTTGTTTTATTATTATTGTTAGTTAATTTGTATTAATAAAACACTCTTTAGAAATGTCCACTAATTATATTAAACTAACTTTCAAACAGTAACACATTATACATAGTGTTTATATATGAAAAAACAAAGAACAAGCAAAGATACACTTAGTTACTAAGAATTAGATATTAAATATTCTACAAAATTACATTCATCTACCAGTGGACGATTGTAGAATTTAGCAAAAACCTCTGATTTTTTCGTCCAACCCGCTGAATTTTTTATTGAATCGATGTTCATACCTGCTCTATGAACCGCAGATGTAGAAACATGTCTAGTACTATGGCTTTTGAATATTGATATATCTATTCCACTAGCTTTCATCACATCCTTTATCCAGCGGCTTATAGATTGGGTTGAAGCTTTATGAACAGGTTTACGATAAGTTAAAATTAAATAATCTTCCTTATTCCTATTATTTTGAGTAACTTCCAAATACTTAACTAAAGTTTTAGCGACACATAAATCCGGCTGTTCTATGAAAAAATTAAATTTCAGTATGGGTTGTCCGCGATTACTTTTTGAAGTTTTTAGCAAATCCGTGAAATAAATTTCCACCCCGTCTTCCTTAATTTTAATATTTTTTAGATTAATTTTAGAAATTGTTTGAACTCTTTGTCCCGATGCTAACACTAATAGGACCACCAACTTCTTAACTAATTTTTCCAGTGACAACTCTTCCAAAGGATACCATTTTTTTATCAAATTTAAAACAACAAATGGATCCCAAGTTTCATTATATCTTGGAAAACTGGGCCTTTCACGAAAAACTCCTTTCAAAAATCGTTTAATTATTAATTCATCGGTATTCGAAATATCTAAAATAAGAGCTAACGCGGATTTATGTGTATTTAATGTTGCATATGAAACATTTTTTAAAAATATTTCATGTAAAAAAGAAATTACATTTCCAACACTTACAGAGTATAAATCTAATTTCTGTCTATTACAATACAGCCACCACTTACTAAGTGTCCCACCGTACTGCTGCAAGGTGGAATTGCTGATTGATTTAATCATTATGGGAAGAGCATCTTCAGAGATTCCTTTCCTTAAAAAAGATCCCCGGATAATTTCGAAACCGCTAGGGGGATGTTCTTCCAAACCGGGTGGCTGGTGCTAAAAGGCGACAAAATTTTTATCAGGCTTAAAAGTTATTGGCTTTGCTATAGAAAGTCTTAAAAATAAAGAAAACCAAGGCTGATTCGGCCAATAGGGAACTACTATAATACCCTCTCCTTTATCCTCTATAATTTTCTTAAGAACACGCCCAATTATGGGAAAAGGTGGAAACGCATAAAATCTAAGTGACTTATCCCATGTTAATGTAAAAGCATTTGACGTTAAAGCTCCTGGGTCTCGCATCCAGGAGACATAATTATCACATTTTTTGTTTATTCGTGACGCAAAAAGGTCTATTTCTGGTTTACCAAATTTCGAAACAATATTTGAATATATTTTATTATTTAATGAATATTCTGCTTCTATAGATACAATTCTTGATTGTTTATCCGCTACAATGTTTTCATTCGAAGCAATATAAGTTGCGTATAACATTAACTTTCGATCTTCGCACCAAGTCCATATTTCTCTGGCAACTCTATTTAATGATTGATGGCGAATACCACCCATTTTATTAATGTATGCTATAGCAGTTTTGTTATCAACACGCAAAAGAATATTACAGTTTCTTGCTTCGGACGCGAAACATTGTATTGCATAAAGAATCGCTAATAATTCGAGATAATTAATATGATATCTTGCTTCTTTTTTATTCCAAAAACCACGAGTAACTTTATCGTTATATGCCGCTCCCCATCCAGTCCTTGAAGCATCTGTATAAATTTCGTAAACATACTTTTGACATTCAATTGAACTAAAAGACTGTGTTATGTTTTGTTTCCACCAAAAAAATTCATCACGCATAGCTTTTGAAATATACATATTTGAATCGTAGTAGCCGTCTGACTTTTTAAGAGCTACATATTTCTCACGTTCTAATATTTTCATGTGAAACCAGCCGTACTGGACAGCGGGACAAATTGAAATTAAAATTCCTATGATTCTTGAAAATTCTCTAATTTTACAATTCTCTTTTTTACAAAATGTATTTATCTTTTTTATTATGGTTTCTTTTTTATCGTCTGATATATACATGGTCATATTACAACTGTTATAAATGAATCCTAAATACTCGCAAATTTGTGAAGGTATTAACTGAGATTTTTTTCAATTTATAATAAATCCTAATTCCTGTAACGTTTTTAAAACAATAGCAACATTATGTTTGACCTCTGTATACGAACTACCTAAAATTAAAATATCATCTAAATAAATAAGGCATAAAATACCCTGCCTTCTAAAAAAATTAAATACGGGTTTAAGAAGCTTGGTAAACACATACGGTGCAGTAGCTAAACCCATGGGTAAACAATTAAATTGATATACTTGATTATTAAATTTAAAACTGAGAAATTGTCTATGTTTTTTATATATGGGTGCCATATAATAGGCATCTTTCAGGTCGATTGTAGCCATATAACATTTCTTTGTAATTAAATCTTTAACTGATTTATAATTGTCTAATTTAAAATGAGGAGGAGATATGAATCTATTTAGACCTTTTAGATTAAGAATAAACCTACTAGTTCCATCAGATTTGGGAACTAAGAAAAATGAGGAAAAAAAATGTGTTTTCGATCTGATACAATTACTTATAATGCCTTTTTTAAGTAAATCTGATATAATAGGCGTCATCTGTTTTATTTCACCTTCTAGTAGTTTCTTATTGACGTACCTATATTGACAAGGATTTTTAATAAAAGGTATTTTATAACCTTTAACCCAAGACCTTATTTTTTCGTCTTTTGTTAAAAGCTGTCAAGCATTGAAAAAAATTTTCAACCGGCCACCGTAAATGTCAGAACATACCTCTATTTCGTGTTGTTGTGTTTGTTGTAAGGATTGTACGAATGTCTGTACTCTCGTTGTCTCTTCTGTGGTCTCTCCACCGGCCCCTCCTTTTTCCTTCCCTTGGCATACCTGCGCTGATAGTTTAAAGACGAGCTTCTTTGAACAGTGGAGCTCATAGATGCTTGAGGAAGTTTTCTAGGTATCGAAAAGGAATTTTTCATTTCTTTGCCGGTTTTCATTTGCGTCTTAACTTCTCTAAATTTCTCTGCAAAATTTTTTCCACACAAGAATTCATCTGGTTTGCTTTCCTTGACGATTTTCTTTACCGTGGAATTCAAATTGGCTCCAACATGATACTTTCTACTTGTCGAAATCATATTAAAAACACCACACATATTTTTACCCGCATCTACAATACATGGCAACCGCTGATTTCTAACATGTTCAATAGGGCAGTCTTCGTCTTTTAAAATAGTATCAATGCATTTTGATAATGCCGAAAGAGCTAGGCCTAAATGCCCCTGAATAATAGAAGAATATTTATCTTCTTTTTTACCCTGATCTGTCAAAGAAGATTCCAACTCGGGATTTAAAATAGGAGTCTTCAACCAAGGAATATTCTTAGGTATAAGATATTTCTTTTCCATTGCCTCTATTTCACTCTTCTCGACTCCTAAACTAACATACTTGCTCCAACGATCCGCAAGAGCCTGATGTACTTCGCTTCCAAATATTAAATCGCTTCCAGATGGTTCCTCCCCTAACAGTCTTAAAATTTCAGGGTCCTGCTCTGGTACTTTGGGGTCATCTTGAAGATTTACCTCCCGATTAACTTCTCCAGCATTAGTTATAATTGATTCTGGGTTTTCATTTTCAGAAGTTCCTGAAGAACTTGATCCAGAATTCGTACTGGAATCGCCTGAAAATGTTCACCATATTAGGTATATTTTAAAGCTTTACGACTTGTAAGCTAGATGGAATTACCCGAAAAAGCAAAAATAAATTATATTTACTCTCTCAGAAACATTTATAGGCGTGCTAACATTTGGAATTACCTGACATTATAGTTCAGAACCAATCTGGCATTACCCAAACACATGTTTGGAACCATTTACACAAACAAAGAAAAAATAAAGAAAAAATAAAATATTTATATTTAGTGGAATTACCCAAACTCGTTTGGAACCATTAATGCTTACTTAAAATTTTGTGTTTATGACGCCTCTTTCGTTCCAAATTCTCTAACTTCTTCCGCAACTTTCTCCTTTTTTTGTCTAGTTCACCATCACTATCACTACTATTATAAACTCTCTTTTTATTAGATATTTTTATTCTGCGTACCAAATATAAACGCTCGAAAAATAACTTGCCTCGACAAAGCACAACAGTGTAATGAATGATTAATAATTATCGGCTGCCGGCCGGCGTCAGCGAATTATAGTTTTTTTAGCTTATGAGGTGTCTTTAAAGAATGTGCTCGACAAAGTCACTATTGTGTAAACTACGTGTGTATTCTAATTGGACGAGTATATCGAAATATAATTCTTGTTTGAACACATTTCTGGCTGTCGTTCTCTTTGATAGCTATAACATGGTTTCTAAGTATGAGGTAACTGATGTCGAGTTTTTATTGGCACTCCATAATATCCCAGACAGCACAAATAGGTCCATTGGACGTCCATTCGATATACAATTTTGGATGTCTGGACGTCCAAAGATGAGTTTTTTCTGGACTTCCGACGTCCAATGGACGTCCAGTGAAGTATGTAAATGGCACACTTTTGACCGTTCATAGGACCTCCAATTCTGGATTATATTTGGACGTTCGAAACTGGACATTCAAAAAACATCCATTCCTGGATTATATACCATTTAGACCACATCCCTACATTTTTTACGCAACCGCAACTCACCACACACTATTTTATATTATTAATAATTTATTTATCATTTTCGCAACCCGCTCCCAGACAACACACCAAATCCCAGAGATATCCACAGAATATCTTTTATGGATATCCAATATATCCATAGGATATCAGAAATATTCCGTGGATCTAATATGGATATTCAAATGTCCATCTATATCCAGAATATAGAAGATATCCCTATGGATATCCAGCAAAATATCTAATGGGTATCTTCCAGACAATACAAGAAATCCCAGAAATATCCACAGAATATATTTTGTGGATATACAATATATCCAATATGGATATCCAACCAAATGTCCGTCTGTATCGCAGGATATAGAAGAATTCGGATATTCAGCAAAATATTTTATGGATATCTTTAGTAGATGTTCATAAGTAACCAATGATTATTGAATAACGTCGAAAGAAAATAGCAGAGAAAAAATATTTTCAACACTCAAAATATTTTCAACACACTGCCTTTGATTTTTCCCACTAAAGAGAAAGTCATTCTTATTAGGACTCTTCAACAATAAATGGAAACTCTCGACTCCAGTCTCTAATGGAGTCTGACTGATCTACAAATTTCGATCGAACTCAATTACGGCGGGTTGAGCATGAGCACGAGCGAAAGTGGTATCACCACCTATACTTAGTAAGCAAAATCAAAAATTACATCTAGTGGATATCCACGATAGTTTGCGTTCGCGCCTAGACTTTGATATATTTAGTGGATGTCCATGGGATATTGAATACACCTTAAAAAATTAATTTTAAATATTTGAACGGTACTATTAGCCACAATGGCGAGCACAATGGCGTAATTTTTTAATAATTTGCTATATAATTACTATTATTTATGGACATTTGCATGTCTATAAATTACATCTCATGGATATAAAATAGATATCCACAATTCGGACATTCAGTGGATATTGGGATGTCAAGTAGATATCCAAAGGATTTGGTGTGCTGTCTGGGATATACACCATTTATTATTATTTTTTTTTTATTAAAAATCACTTGACCAGAGCGGATATCGAACTCACGACGATCCATTGTCTTTCTGGGCATTGAAGTGCTAGGCGACCTCGACCACGGAGTCACTTGAAAAATTCTTATTAGATACGGTATTAATAGAATAAGTTTCCAAATTTTCGCTGAAATGTAATAGATTTGTCAATTTTTAATGACCAATTCTATTAAAAAAAAAGTGTATATAAATGGGTATTATCTGGTAGGTTAAATAAATAATGACCTAAGATGGACGTCCACTGGATGTCAAAATAATACTAAACTTAAAATTAAGTCCAAAAACAGACGTCCTATGGACATCGAAATGCAGCTGTCAAATTAATGATCGTAAACGGAGGTACACTGGATGTCCGAATACGGATATGGACGTTCTGGCCCTCAAATGGATCTAAAATGGACGTCCATTGGACTATGTGTGCTGTCTGGGATACTTCATTGATTTAAATTATATTTTTTCTGTAGTAGACTAACTTTAAATAAGTAATTTTAAGACTGATAACCTCTTGGCGACGTTGTCAACTACGTTAAATCTGTAGGCTGGCTCATGAGCTAGGATGTGCCTATCATCTTAGGAGGATGCACAATGGGCCTAGTGAGGCCTAAGTGCCTAGGGGGTAACCCACCCTCCACACGTTACAGATACAGACATATTGGTTAAGTAAGGTTTATTTATTATTTTTTTAGGTAGGATAAATGCAGGTTCTTACGAATATCCTTTTAGTTTTTCGTTACCGACCACTAACATTTGTTCCTCTTACCAGCACAGATATGGTTCCATTAGATATTACGTATCAGCTATCGTAGACAAACCATTTTCGTTTGATTACAGGGATGAAATAACGCTACATATCGCTGTTCCTATAAATTTTAACGACATAAGACATCAAATACAATTGGTAATTCTTCCATTTTCTCAAGAACGATCTAAATTTTGTTCAAATTGGACGATATATGCATGAAATCATTTTTTGTTTTTAGGTACCAATTACTTACCAAACGGACAAACAAACAGGGTGTTGTCTCTGTCTTAGCGATTTTATCACGTTGAATATGACTTTAGAAAAAGATTGTTTTGTGCTAGGCGAAACAATAAAAGTCAAAGTACATGTAGATAATAAATCTAATGTGGAGATAGAACAAATAGAAGTAAAAATTACATCGGTGAGATATAAATTTAATTTAAAAGCGTAGTTTTGTTAATTTGGCTAATAGACATAACAAGCTTTTTCATACAAATGTTGTCTTTTACACAATAATAACTGAGTTTCTGTATACCAATAAAGCGTCATCCTCTTCTGAATTCTCGTAAATCCTTTAAAATTGCCGTGTAGTATTCTCTCATTATGAAAATACCAGTTTCCTTGTAGTCGTTGGGTAGGATTCCCTCAGTGTCGCAAAAAAAGATCGCCATGAAGTCACTTTGATCTTCTTTGGCTGTGGTGAAAACTCTTTTTCTTTTTTGTTTGAACTCTGGTTATTAAACAATAAAGTGAAGTTTCGTCCTCTAAAGACCAAATTCTCCATTCCTATCATTGCTCCAGAGGTCTAAAAACACGCTCCCATGCAACACGCTATTGTCTTTGCGTAAGCATTCTTGTACTGACCTTTGTAATACCAAGGTGATCGTGAAGAATCTTGAAAACACCAACCATTTTGGCAGTTTTTTATCCTTAGACTAAAATCTTCTAGAACGACTTCCCTGTCCTGTCCTGTCCTGATACCGCATCAGTACCCAGATAGCAGCACAAAGTCATCTTAAAGACGCCTTTCATAAGATATATCCCAGACAGCACACTATATCCCAAGCATAAGCCACCAATCTGCCTATTTGCCAAAATATATTGCAATATTTATGAAATATTCACAGAATATATTTCATATTCTACATTCTAGAAAGAATATATGCAGCTTTTAAATTCATTTTGTTAAGGGTTGATTTTAGTAGTCCTTACAATAACAATTCATTATTATGCTTAATCGCCAACTTTGACAATTTTACTTTAACCTCACTCAAAATGGCTATCTAATAGAGGGCTTTTGATATTAATAATTCTTAAAGTCTCCACAAAATAATAGAAATAAGATAACTGACAAATAATATCTGAATTAAAACTTATATTAAGATGTACTTTTAAATGCATTTAATTATTCTTATTTAGAGGAAACAAGATATTAATATTTTATGTATATAATTAAACAAATATTCATTTATTACCTGTAAAAAGTATTCCAGAAACGTGCTACATCGGTAACAGAAACTCCACTATACTTCTTTCTCTGATTTTAGTCGCATATTTAAATAAAAGGTGACTAAACACAAAGGTTTAAAATGGTCCAAAGAAACTTTGGCAACTATAATCGCGTACGGTACGCGATAAAATAATAATGCAAAATAAGCTTGGGCTTGAATGTATTATTAAGTCAAACGTCAAACTTCACTTCATTGGATTATTCTTGTTAAATTTGAATTATGTAAACCGTAAACCTTTCGACTGAAAGACGTTTGTAAGACATCTTAAAGACGTCTTAATAAGACGTCTTAATAACGTCCTAGGACATTGAGATCAAGCCAAGACAAAAAAATGTCGTCTTTCAGACGTCGTGTGGTATCTGATTATTGGTATTTTATTAATACTGAAAAGGAATTGGCGCTAACTCTAGGTCTATGAACCTAGATCAGATATAGGTGTCTCTAAAGAGAGTACGCCTCATTCAAGAGAACTCCCAAGTAACACACAAAGTTATAAAATGTTAATATAATTGATTAAAACGTTACAAAATTTACGTAAACGACACGTTAGATAACTTAAATTTTTATAACTGATATACAACTTTTTAATAGTGTAGAAACTAATAGTACGACGTTTTTGTCAGAATTTGTTAAGCAATATTTAACTAGAGTTGTAATAACGTTATTTTATAAGAAACGTATAACTAAATTAAGTTGTTTTAAAATGTACAATATATGTAGTTGTTATAAGGTTTCTATAACTTTTAAATTGCAACTACTTTTAATAAATACATATTCACTTAATAATATAGTTTTAATACCGTTGTAAACTGTAGTTACTATTAGGTTTATCCAGAAAATTATTATTTAATAAAACTATTACAAATTGCTTCAGTGGTTCTTTTGTTTTAAATTATATAATACTCCGTTACTATAGAAGTTGTACAGTGGTTAAATGTGTATATTATTGTACTTATTCCTAGAATGAAATATTATGTTTCTGAGGTTAGGAGTTAGGAATAACTGCTTTATAAATTTTAGAAGAGAATTATCATGTATCGGAAAAAGATTTGGCTCTTATAGATGTAAAAAAAACTAATTAAAGTGGACGCATCAAAGTACTTCAAAAAATAAAAAAATTGGGAACATTTCAAACACAGATCCGTAGTACTCACCTATTCAATAAAACCATCCGTTGTTTTCAACAGTAATATTCGGAATTGTGCTTCTTGCAATAATTTCTAAGATAGTTAAAAAAAGACCAAGAAATATTGCAACATAGAAATTGACATGAAAATAGGGACCAATAACTAAAAGTATGGACAATAATAAAAAGTAAGTTAGGTTACTTACCACATAAAATTGTAACTAAATTAGTGAGAATATAATTATGTGCACAATTAAAATTAAACAACTACCAAAAGTGCAAAAACCTTATTGAAAACTCCCAGAAAAATTAACATAGTTTTCATGGGACCAGATCCCAATGGTATATTATTATTTTAAAACCCTATGGCTCAACACCATATATTTCAAACAATAAGTACTTTTCATTTGATCCTTGCTTTATTAATCCTTGCAAACCAATATCAGAAATGATTGAAATACTCCTAAAGGATTGCAAATTTTAATAATGATGTTAGTAAGCAGTAACAGTAAACAGCACATCTACATAACCTATAAAAATGTTTTTATTTTTTGACAGTTATAACTCAGTGATAAACAAGTTTTGATATAATAGTATATTATTTAACGAGCGGTAATGCAGGTCATAACCCACGCAGATGAAGTTTGCAGCACGTGCCGCAGGTGAGTGCTGTAATTCATCAAGTGAGTTATGACCATTACCGCAAGTTGAATACTATACTTTATCTACGACTATAACAATAAATACTAAGATACAAGTATCGAGAAAGAATTATATAATTGTCTAGATGATAAAAACGTTTGAATCTTTGTAAAAGCTATTACCTTTGACGCCAGATATTTCTCATCAGGAGCTTTATTTATTAAATTATTAAGTTTTTTTGGCGTAAATGTTTTTGCCTTTTTAGCTATATGTTTTTCTGATTGACGTTTAAGAAACGCACGTAATTTTGAATAATTCTCTATATTAATTCCATTATTTATGTTGAGTGTGCTTTTTAGCAAGGAGTAGAAAGTCCATAGATACGATACTTTATATTTATTGCTAAGTTCATTAAAATATGCCAAAGGTACACTTTTTGTAAACGAGTTAAACCAATCTTGAAAATTTTAGTATACACCTTTATACTTGTTTTTTAAAATTTCTGGTAATAAATTCTGTATTGCATTATTAGTTATCTCTCTTATTTCTGAAGGTGTACATAATAACTTATCTTCACTATCTAAGTTCATCTTTTTTTAGCACTATTATTAGAAATTGATTTGAAAACGTCAAAATTATCTTGTTAAAATATCAAATGACATTATTCCCCTCAATCTAATAATTGACTGTTCCGCCTACTAAGAGGCGTTGACAATTTAATAATTTTAAAATCTTTTAATAATTATTAATTCCTTTCCAGTTATTAAAAAAATCTTTCTAGCATTTCACGCCTTAGGAACATCTATCGACTTTAAAATTATCAAGAATTTACTGCGCACACTATTTATATGCCGAATTATCGTAGAAGCCCATCGTGAGTTATAAGCTTTGTCCCAACATCTTACAAAACCGTAATATTACGGTCATCGTCATGCGCAGTAAATAAAAACCGTTCGACTTTGGGCTTTATTGATAGGTTTTTATTTACTGCGCATGACGATGACCGTAATATTACGGTTTTGTGAGATGTTGGGACAAAGCTATATAACTCACTATTAAAACTCACGCTATTTGTTTATTGATACTATTAATTGCTCAAAAGTAGTTGAATAATTAATATATAAATTAATAGGAGTAGATAAATTATATAATATACATAGAATTAAGCTATAACGTAGTGATATTAAATAATATAATACATGCAAATTATACTTACATAATTAAGCTATAATAACCATATTAAATAATATTAACGTAGTGTTTATATGTATTAATTACAACTTTTTAGTCATAAGAAGATTCAACCATTTTATTCGGTAAAAAGGAACACAAACTTCGCCATGTTGATAAAAAATAAACAGAAAATGAAATTTGGATCTTATTCTGTATTATAATTGCAATATGTAGACAAAATAAGGTGACAATATGTTTTTATTTAAAATAAAAATTATTTTGAAATATTTTTAAAGTTTATTTTTTTCCTAATTTTTCTAATAAATTTTAAGGTTTACCTAGTTGCCATTAGTGAGATATTTATGATGTAATGTCATTTTGTAAAAAGTAACTCTAAAATGTTTACACCTGTTATAAATAATAATCTATAGATAAAACCAAATTATATCATGACAACAACTCTTAACAACGTTTTTATATCCAATAACATTATCTTTTTATAAAGTTATAAGTTAGTTATGACTGGAGTTATAGCAACTCTTGTAAAACGTATAGTAGTAGGTTATATATATCCACCAAAAGTCGCATAATAATATATAATAACGGTATAGTGTATTAGTGGTTGAGTTTTAAGAAACGTTGTTGCAACGTCGGTATAACCCTTATATAACTTTTTGTGTTACTTGGGCTATGAGACCACCATTTCCAAAATTATCTTCCAGCATCCAGTTAATCTATAGAATATAAATATGTATGTTCAATTAATTAAAAATAAATTGCTAATATAAATTAGGACGGGTTAGGTTAGATAGTAAATATTTTATGATTAAGCCTATCACTGGTGTCAGATAGTAGTCCACACATCTATATAAGACTTAATTCTTGTTCTGTGTCTTTCAGACAATCCAATTTACCACACAAAGGCCGAGTGCAAGACATAAATTAGATAAAACTCTATTGTCGATAGCGAATGGTGAAGGAGTTGCTGCTAGATCGGAGAAGATTTTAGTATTTGATTTGATCGTTCCACAAACTACTTTAATACCTAGTTTTCAAGGATGTGTCTTATTTAAACAGTGGAGTACAATTGGGGTAGGTAAATATAAACACATTTTTGGGCATCTATGCAAACTTATCAATTGATTATCGCTTATTTGTCAAATATTTAAATGAATTCCATGATTGTTTCAGGCAGAAGCTGTTCTTCCCGCGTTTCATACAAACCTACCTCTTGAAGTTAATATAAATATAGGACATATTCCTTATATCACTACTGTAAGCTCGATTGGTGATCATTTTGTTCCAGTGCCAGTAGCGCAAAGCCATGGTGAGTTACTACAAAAATATTTTACCTAAAACGCTGATTATCTTAGACAAGATTCTTCTTATTTAATAGGCATACATTTACTATGCTTTTCTCCTTGTTGAAATCCTAATGAGTTCTTTCAAATTGTAAGTAACAAGCTATATTTTTTAATGAAAAATTTATTCAGATTTACAAATAAATATTATTACTTCATTAACTTACAGAACAGGAATCCAGAATTTTTAATATAATATGAAAATTATGAAATATTTAGTCAGCTAAGAGCACAATGTAAGCTTCTATCTAGAGACAGCTGTTCAAATGATATATATTTTGTTGAAACTTCTGTTAAGGCTAATGTTAAAGCCTTTTGGAGTTTTGTAAATAGCAAAAGAGCAAATAAGAGTATACCAGATAAAATGAAATTGGAGGACATTTTTCTTTAGTTTACATATTCTAAATTTAAACGATGACCAAATTGAATCTAAATTTAATATTTCCTCATGTTTCCTCATGTTTTCTCATACCAATTTCGATCATTTACAATAAATTGTCAAACCTTGATACAAAAAAGGGACAGGTCCTGACATATTATTCCTCTTATCCTACTAAGGAATTGTAGATTCGCATTGTTTCGCCATCTTTTTCATATTTTCAATGAATCAATTGACGAAGGAGAGTTTCCCGATTCTCAGCACAATACCTAAATTGTCTGAAAACATTATAACTGATTACCTTACTGATGATTGCTCCGGCATCATAACTGAAATATAATATGGTTTTTGTGCTGGAAAATCAACAGAGTTAAATATAGTCACCTATATTGACTTCTTGTCAGTAGCTTTGGAAGGTTTACAAATCTATTCGGTCTATATTGACTTTTCCAAAGCTTTCGACAGGGTCAACCATACTCTCTTACTTTAAAAGCTTAACGAATATAGTCTGGTAGGGTATTACTGCAATGGATCTTACTAATGGAACTCAAATGGTTAGAGCTAATCACCACTATCTAACTTATTTCAAGTAACCTCAGGTGTTCCTCAGGGATTACATCTAGGACCCATACTATTTTACTTATTTATTCATGATATAATTCATTGTCTTCGTATCAGCAAAGCTGAATTATTTGCAGATGACTTAAAATTTTTCCAAATTGTTAAAACCCATGATGATGCCAGTATAATTAAGTCTGACTTCAATCAGAATGGTGTTCTTTAAATGGCATGGACAATAAATCGTTCCGACCTACTTTCAACTACATTTCACTATAACTTAAATGGGCATATATTAGACTCTATTCAACAAATTAAAAACCTTTGAATTAGTATTGATTCTACTTTAAGCATTAATCAACACATATCTGCTGATGTCCACAAATCCATGAACATGTTGGGTTTTATCAAAAGGTTTTACTCACATAACTGCAATTAAAGTTCTATTGTTCGCTAGTCAGACCCCACCTTGACTATTGCTCTTCCGTTTGATCCCCACACTATAAAACATAGTGATGGGTTGCTTAAAAAAGTCCACGGACAATTCCGACGGACTAGTCTGAAAAGTTTACTAGCCCAAACACACTTTCCAAAAATGGAAAAGTGTATTGCGCATATAGTCCAAGAGCTAGTAACACACATTCCATTAAGTGTTTGATACACTTTGAAATTTTGTAATTTGAAATCATTTGGATGGAAAATCAGATATACCTGTGTTGGCTTGACCCACCCCGGGACACCAGGTACTGCGCATAATAGAAAGGGGTCTTAAAATATGACCCAAAAAAAGTGTTTGATTCAGAGGCCAACAAACAACAATTGACAGTTTAGGTAATTCTAAAAATACTAGTAATTTAGGCAGACACTTTTGAGAGGGTTTGTAATTAATAAATCAACCCCAAAGTTGATTTTTTTTAAATATGATTTGAAGTGTTTGATTCGCGCTGAAATTTTAATAGCGTCTTAATTAAATATAAAAAAAATTAATTCCAAAAAGGCAGACACTTTTTCCAGGGTTTAATTGCCGGCCAACATAAAAATGAATGAACCTCGTTATGCGCCACTATGCATTGAATGAGTATATACTTTTTAAAAACTAAACATTCTTAATTTGTGAAAATTTGTGAAATAATAAAACAATAATATTTTTCTTTTTTTTTTTTTAGAAAAAAAAAACAAAAAAGAACTAAAAGTTTCGGGGATCGAACCACCAACTTGCTATCCACACCATCCAAATGTTGATAAACATTGCGTTCGGTCTGCCAAGTTCCTTTAACTCCTTTAACACTTTTAACTCCAAACGACCCTTTTAGCGTTCGGTTTAGTCCGATTAGTGACAGTTTAACATGCTTAAATGTCATTTAAAAGCACCCTAGAATTTGTCCCGCTCCAGCCCCTGACTATCCGAACTCGCCTAGTGTGGATAGCAAGTTTAACCTTCGAATAACCTACTCGTATTTTGTTATTTTAAATGTTCCCAGTTTATATATGAGATGTATAATGGTCTTTGTTTATGCTACAAATATTTGTGATATTTTAATTAATTTTTAAATTGTAATTGAATAAATATGTGTTTTTAGATGTTTATCCACCTCAAAATGTTGGTCCACCTTACCCAATTAGGACACCTACTAGACGTCCCCCGGCGTTACTACTGCCTTCAGCACCTCACGATCAAGCAAATAGACCAACTGCACCAGTTCATCTTGCAGAACAGGAAGATGATTTTAATCCCAGAGGCGAGTAAATATTTTGTAAATGGTTGTTGTATACAATATGTTAACTTTTCATTCCTAACTCCAGAGAACGGTATAGAAAAACAGTGTTATTGACACAACTATTGAATAGACCGAAATAGAGCATATCTACTCGCTATCCCAATACCGGTATAGGTGTAACCATGAGTCCAATTGGGATAGACACGTTAATCGGGAGCTACTCTCTTTATTTCACTCATGTCTAAATATAATTAAGCATATATCATCTTTATGTTGCTGGCTGCGTGGGTGAAAGCACTGTATGAAAAATAGGCAGCAGTATTAAATACACTCTATAACTCCAAAAGTTTATCATTGTTCCACCAATTCTCAATTTATATTTTTTGTTTTCAGTTCCAGCATCACCGCCGCCAACTTATGACGAAGCTTTGACAATGAACCTTTCAAAATCAAAGCGCTATTAATGTTTTTTTTTATTATTTTTATAATTTTTATTATTATTATTGCATTTTTACTTATTAGCTTTGTTCGCGGTAACAATCCTGAACTGATTCAGAATTACTAATTCATACTTTGAGCGCATGACCGAATAATTATCAATTCTGAATTGTTACCGCGCGCGCAATCCCTATTATATCTCGGTGTTTCAGGTATAGACAAGCGGTTCAAAACCAATAATTATTTTACCGCGAACGCAGGATAGAACCAATAGTTCAGTTCTTTTTGTTCCGCAAACGCTTTTTAACTACTGCGCCTGCGAAATCGTTACTGTTAGTAATAATTCGGTTCAGGATTCTTACCGCGAACAAAGCTAAATATTAGGCTACCTCATCTAATTGTGCCTTTTTGAAAATTGTAGACTTTACGAAATGTTTATACTATACAAGGATGTATATGTTGTTGCCCTGCATAATAGAATCATTTTCTAGCAAAACATTTTTCAAAAAGCCATTAGAAATAACAGCTGAACATTGCGATGTTTTAATTAGTTTTAATATATTTTTTTATTTGTTTAAAATATATTGAATTGTTAGGTATTTTTTAATGAAGAATTACAATGAATAAAATATTTACACATATCAACATTCTTTTTTCACAAATTCATGAGCAATCTTAATATAACATGAAAATCTTCCCAGTTTTCTCCATTTTATTAATGAAATTACCTTATCTAGCACATAGTCTCCAAAAGTACGCTAAGTACAGCCCTTATGGTTGTACTTAGGAATAAAGTATTTTATTTGATGAACCCTTAATAATTATCTACCTACCCAAATAGCACTATATATACATAGCATATTACCATGAATATGTTTTTTTGGAATAATGAATGGCTCTGAGAATATCCTCTGGATATCTAAATTCCTCCGGAAATATTCTTAGAATATATGTATGGAAAAATCTCAGAATAACATTTAAGATTATTCTAGGAATATCTAGGATATTCATAGGTTATATTTAAAAAATTAATTGCAGAATATTCTGAGAATAATCCTAAAAAAATATTCTAGTAATATTTAGGATATTTTTAAATTATTCTTAAAATGTCTTTAAAAACAGATATTCTAGGTAGGTTTATGAATATTCTTGATACGTTTAAAAGATATTCTAGGTAGGTTTTTTTTAGGATCTAGGTAGGTTTATTATCTAGAATATTTTTAGGTAGTGTAGGACAATACCTCTATTTCTCGAGATAAAACTATATATTATATCAATAATTGTGAAATCTGTTTATATAAGGCTACAATTTGGTATGTATGAATTTTTGTAGTGTCAAATCAAAAATAAAAATGTCAGCACGATGACACAAAAACCATACATAACTAGATCAGAATATTATTTAAATAATGAATAATATATCATTAGTAGTTAAACAACTGATAAGTTATAAATGTAATTTTAAGAATGAAGAGTTATGTTCATCATCAGATCTTAACCAAATGTATATGGGACTATCGGACAACGTGGTACTTCTAAAGTACCCTCCCAGATATTCCGACTATGCATGAAAAATTAATCATTTCAACGTAGGATAAAGTTTCGTGTAGTCTCTTTATCCGTTTTTGAGTTATCTTCAAAAATTGAAACTTGCACATTTTTTCAAGTATCTCCAATACGATCCGTTTTAGATAAATTATGTGTAGGCCATAACTTATAGAGAATAACAATACAGAAAACTTTTATTTGAACAATTTCAATTTAATACTTTTTAACAAATTTCTTGAATACGGACCATTAATGGATTAACAGACGTTATCGCGAAAATAGTCAAAACGGATTCAGGGAACCCCAAAAAGTAAAAATCCGTCGAAAACTCGAGGTCGAAAAAATCATGATTCCTATACTTTCCTTATCAGTATACAGATAGGAAAGTAAAAATAAGTTCCATCAGTGATTTGCCTCGCACAATAAGTTCACATCAAACACACGCATAATTGTACAAAATAATAATTGATTATAAAATTGAGTCAGAGTTCTCTAATGTGGATAGGTACAGCCCTTCGTATATTTTTATTCTTGATATCAAACTGCGCAGCGGAAAGATCTTTTCGAAATTGAAAATAATAAAAAATGCTTATAACACTAATATGCTAAAAACGTTGGACTTAAAAACTATTTTCCGCGAATTTAATGCCCGAAAAAGTCTCATTTAAATAAATAAAAAATGATTTGGTTTTTATTGTATGTACAACCTACATATTCTAAAGGTGCGTAATGATCTATCTTGTCGTATTAAATACGTATTTTTTTTAAAGACCGATACTAGTTTATTTATGGATAGGGGGCCCACAGGCGTGGATTGCTTAGGGCATTAAGTAGTCTTAATCCGGCACTGATCTCTACTAAAAAATCGTCAACATTTCATAACTCCACGAACGATTTGTAATAACTGATAAGTGGGTTGCATACATTCAGTATTCGTTCGGCAGATTGCGTGTATTTTATCAATGAAGTGGAGACGGGTAGAATGATAACTGTCAATGAAAAAGTCTGGACACTATGCACAATTTCGTTTTGCACATTTTGTACACAAAATTCAGGGACGGTTTAACAACATTTTGTGCAACAATTATAAAATAGTGCATCGAAAAATAATTAACAAGTATAATTTAATACTAAATCGGAATAAAAGCATAAAAAATCATAAATATAAGCAAGATAACAAAGAATTGACGCCAAAAAAGCTTACAACAGCCAAAACACAAACAAAAAACAGAGCTGAACATGAACATAATCGCTGAATAAAGTCGATCCTGGAATTTGTTTACAGTGCTTTAGGGCAACCTCTCTTTGTCATTTACGTGTGTAAGAGTGGAAGGCTGAATCACGCATAATTTCTACACTCGTGATGGATGCGCAGACGGTACCTTATCGTTCTACCCTCTCTACTTCTTTGGTATTTTATATACTTCATCTAGGTTACGGTCTATGTAGAGAAGGTCTTTGACACGGGGGTTTATATCATATGCAAAATATGCCAACCCGTTTACTGCGCAGACCACCCGGCGCTTGGGTGCTCTGAAGTCGGTTTTACAATAACCAAATTGTATTAAAATGTAAAGCACACTGAATAATTTAATAACATCTCGCTCAGTAACACAAAAAAGTATTATTTCAACAATTTTAATTTATATATTAAACCAAATTAAAAAATCATGCCTTCACTTAGTTATTTGTACAATGTTATCCTGTCTTTATGTCCGCTACATGCCTGCTGGCTCCCCCGTGTGCCCGCTGCCAGGGTGACGCGCGCGCTGTCAACAAAAACTAAACAAAAAAACAATATGGTTATGGTTGCCGCCAGGGGTGGGAAACTGGTATGCGCAGGCCTGGGATCAATCAACCACGTCCGCGTGGCGCTGCAGTCGGGTGGTGGGGTAGGTGGTGGGAGTGTAAATGACAGGTGAATATTGATTTTTGTGGGGGTGTCATGGCAATGGTCGAATGGTCTGTATGTCATGGCGTCTTGGCTTGAACCAAATGTGAACTTTGTTTATTTATATTGGTGACTGTTGTATTCAGTTGTTTTCATTTCCAATTTGCTTAATTGATTTAGTTGACCACTGTTAATAAGCTTGTTTTTCCATTATAAATTTGTGCTTTTTCCGCTGTTATTTTGTGGTTTTTCATAAAGATGCGTAATTATAGAAAATGTGTACCGAATTGCCTTGTTGTGGACAACAAGATGCATCGCCTGCCTCACCCTACGAATTCACCCGATTTATTTGATATTTGTGCACTTGCTGTTCGTTGTCCAAGATTTAATAATAAAACAAGACTACAAATTTATTCCACCTTTGTAGTATGTCATAAACATTTTGAAGAGAAGTATAAAGTAGTTGGCTCTCGTCGAGGTCTGAAGCATTTCCAACGCTGTTCCTACCAGCAGTTCCTGGAAGAGTAGCGGATGGACTTTCCTCAAATAACGTAGAAATTGAATATGTTGATCAAACACCTTCTACTTCAAGTAAAGGTTCAAAGAAGAAGCAGACTAATAATATATGTTGGACTTCTTTTCGAGAAGGAAAGTTAGTAATCTACTCATTTATTTTATACTTATACTGTGTATTTTCTGTTTCATGACATTTGGGGTTGCAAAGCTGTATCCTAGAAGAAGAAGCAGACTAATAATATATGTTGGACTTCTTTTCGAGAAGGAAAGTTAGTACTTATTTATTTTATACTTATTGCTGTGTTTGAGAATCCACATCAGATGCATTTTTTACATCTCGAGCGTTTTTTTATCCACATACCTATATATAAAACGTTTATTTAGTCAAAAAAACTATTTTTTACATGTCAATACATCTTCACGTTTAAAATATAAAAAATACATAAATATAGAATCAACATACATTTAAAATGCAATAAAAAATACATAAGATACAGTACACTTACATGTCAACTATACAAAACAATAAAAGAACAAGAGAAAAAAAAACGTCAATAGGTGAACAGGTATTCATGCAGTTTTATTTTAAATATTGCCACATTTGAAGAACATTTAATATCCTCAGGCAAATTATTAAAAGCCTGTACACCTTTAAAAAACACTGAATTTTGTGTACATTTTTCTTGTTACCTGTTTAGGTTCATGAACATCCTGATTATAACTTAAAATATTTTGTAAATATACTCGGGAGATTCCTGATCTAATTTTAAATATAAAAAGCAGGGAAAAGAATAGCAAATATTTTTTAACAGTCAACCACTGAAGCACATTCAACATGGAATTGATTGGTTCCAATCTCGAACAGCTCAGTATTATCCTCAGACCTCTATTCTGCAACTTTTGCAATCATTGCAACTCATTCTGGTTGAGCAAATACAGTATAGTGGCACAATAATTAAAATAAGGTAATATTAAGAGTATTATAAATTATTATTTTAGTCCATTTGCCGAGATGTGGAGAACAGCGCCTCAAATAGTTTATTTTAAATCGGACACATATGTCCCATTACATTTACGTAAACTGAATCACGTGATCAAAGATTTACTACATCTCAGTTGCATCCGATGTGGATTCTTAAACGCGGCATATACTGTGAAATTTGTGTTTCATGACGTTTGGGGTTGCAAAGCTGTATCGTAGATGTTGGACTTATTAAAAAATAAAGTATTCCTCGGACTTATAATTTTTTATTAATACATTTATTTTAATGAGATTGTACTTATACCGTCTTTCTTTTTTCACAGCTAAAATTCTTCACAAAATGATGGACAGTGTTGTATCCTGGAATATGTAGCAGCCATCCAGCTACTTCATACATAATACAATTTTCATATACATTACATTTTTTAAATATTGGATTTGTATTATATATATTCTTTAATAAATTTATTTTTTGAATATTCTTGTTTTTTTTTATCTAAAAACTGTTAGCCAAATTAAGATTTGTTCACACAAACTGCATTTTTGCTTTATTATAGCGATATTCGCTATAATAAAGCAAAAATGCAATTTGTGTGAACAAATCTTAATTTGGCTAACAGTTTTTAATGCGGATAATTTTTACTCTCAAATTTGAATAGCCCCGCGCTTTTCTTCTCTTCTTCTTTTTATTATTTTCTCTTCTTTCATATGGCCTCTTACCAGACAAGGACTTAATTGAAAAAAAATCAACCACGTCCACCAGGTGCCGCTAAAAACTCTATCATCCTTTTTTAACATGGGAGATACCGTTCTAAGAGTAAGTGTTCTGTGGTTGCCGCCGACGAAAACATGTGAGTGAGAGTATTTTTTATTTATTTTAGTTTTAGATATGTTATTTAGGATTATTTAAAATTAAGTAAAGGTATTTTGATGCTTTAACGAGTCTTTACCAGGGAAAATTCATTATAAATACATAATTTCCAAATCAAAGAAAGAAATGGTGCCACATTTTAAACAGTCCATGTGAAACCAATCATGAATTATGAGATAATTTTGATACGAAATCGAATACAAACACAAATCGTTCAAGACTAAGACTGCTAAGATTTGCTTTGTCTTTAGCACCCTCAAAACCAGATACACCAAAGATAATAATACTTAGTAATGTTGTTATCACACTTCCAGATTACCTGTGTTACATTTTAATAAGATAGATCAAAATTTCAAAGAGGGTCAGTCATCAATTGAATTTGAATCTTACATAAGAAACAACGTTTCGATAATGGATTTTTAAATAAATTTAATAGAAAACAGAAAAGTAATATTTGCAAATTAAAAAAGGCCCTATAATTAATTCCTAATGTAACGTTTAAACTGCAGTCAAAATTTCAGAATCAAAGATATTTCAACAATTTAATTCAAAACTATTATAATGTAGGTTTGTTCAGGTTTCTTTAAAACTCGATGCAAACTGTCCGAGAACCAGTGAAACAGTTTAATTCCAAATTATTTGTCGCATACAACTATTAAACTGTCCACTGGTCAACTAGTCTTCTGATAGTTCTCAATGTATTTTTGAAGAACCTGGACATACCTAGTATGAGGGCTGTGGCAATATTTTAAAGACCAAAAAGATAAACAAAATGAAGTTACTGCATTTAATTTTTTTTCTGTTTCAGTTTATATGGATGGTTGCCTTTTATCTTATTTCCCAAGATTCAAGAATAATATTTATTTATTTATTAGACATTAGTTTTTTCAAATCAAGTACATGAATTATTTGTTTTGCAATTTCTGATTTTCATTATTTTAACCGAAGATAGTTAAGGTACATCTAAATAATAATGTAATATTTGTGATATTAGAGTAACTTTCTTAAAGATAATAAATATTTGGAGATAATCTTTAGAGAATAACATTTTCGTGAAATTAGGAGTATTTTTTATAGGAACTAGTAAAACATTTGTAAAAATAGATTGTACTTTGTATGGAAATAAACTAATATATACAAATAATGATGGTAGGTCGGGTTATCTGGGTTTTCCTCACCATAGCAAATAATAATAACTATTCTTGCTACTCACAAGCTCTTCTTGGTGTTTAACTCATGTAGAGTGAAGTGTAGGAAAATCTATTAGTATTGTTGTCATTAATTTGATTTATTTTTATTGGGAATTTTTAGTAAATATAATTATATAAAACTTTGTATGGTATTTATTTTACCCCTCATAGTTATTTGTTATAGAATTTTACATTTTTATTGGCATTTCATAATTGTGACAAACAGCTAATAAAAAAGCAAAATTTTAATTATAATTAAGAGGAGAAAAATTTACTTTAGCAATTATCTTTTTCTAACCAATACGAAATAGAGCTATGAACATTTCTAGTTTATTTTTAATTTTTAGTGAATGAATAATATGTACATTTAGGTAAAGGTGAAATATTTGTTTCTCTGAAGCCACTATTCCGAAATCTAATTTATTTTCTCAAAAATTGAGAAAATCTTTATGAAACAAAATTTTGCGATTTTTGCCATTAAAATTGATCAAATTTTAAAAAAGTGGCTCCAGAGGAAAGAACGTCTACCTTCACTTACATGTTTTTTCTTTCACTAAAAATAAAAATAAATTAACTGAAATTTTGGATGCCTATATTTCGTATTAGATGGAAAATATGAATTGTTAAAATAAATGCTCCTTTTAGTAGAAGTAAAGTCCGCCAATTTTCAAATTAAATATGGTATTACGGGTAACTGCATTACCAACAGAGTAATGATTGAACAGTTAATATTGTAGGTAATTACGTTACCGACAGAGTAGGATTAGTTGAACCACCCGCCCCCACAGGTCGCTGCAAGCAAACTTGTTGCCAAATTTCTACAAAGAAACGGCAACTCTTAATAATCTTTCCTCCATGGTCTTTGATATAAGAAGATTGTCATTGTCAATACGAATGTCAAATTAAGTGTTCTGTGGTCAAATTAACCTAACCACACAAATCATAATTATTGTCAAATTAAGTAATAAATAATTTTTTTTATTTAAATTCTACCTTTTTTAAAATACAACTGTAAAGTTTTTTAAAAAGTTGAATCCAACCATGCCAGTAAGTTAAAAGTTTATTATATGGCGAAGACATGACTAATAATACTATTAAGAGGTTGGGTGTGTCACAGATAAAAAGTTATAAATTACTTGTATTTTTAGGCTTACCATTCAAGTTTTCTGGAACCTATACAGATAATAGGAAATACGGCTATCTTGCCTCTGAAAACACGATTCAAAGGGCCTGGTCCTATACAATCTAATGACCAGGAACAAGACATCATTGATGAGTCACTGTATTATTTTAAAGCCAATGTATTCTTCAGGACATATGAAATAAAAGTAAATATGTTTAATTAGTTTTTCTGATTCTATAGATATCATTTTTCATTTTCAGTCCGAGTCAGATAGACTGTTGATTTATATTACATTGTACATAACGGAATGTTTAAAGAAGCTACAAAAATGTAGTAATAAAAATCAGGCTTACAATGAAATGAAGAGTTTGGCAATTTCTAGGTTTGATATTCCTGGAGATCCAGGATTTCCATTAAACTCTGTATATAGGTAGGTATTTAAAAAATGGCTAGAATGTGAGGACATACATTGAAGCTGTGGATGTGTTACTTGCTTTTGCTAAATTTCAATTATTTTTAGTAAACCTGCCAACTCAAATGAGGCAGACCAATTTAAAAACTATTTAACCCAATTGCGACAGGAAGTTGGTATGAGAGTATGTGATAAAGTTTTCGGTGAGGATGGTAAACCAAGTAAATGGTGGCTCTGTTTTGCAAAAAAGAAGTTTATGGATAAGTCCTTATCTGGGCCAGGACAATAAATTATATGAAGGTTTATTTTATTGCAGGGTATCACAGGGATAAACAAATCATTTTAAAAAGAGGGTTACCTTTTTTGTAATAATCTGATATTGTTCCTACTGATTGAAATCACTCAATTTTTTTTTATAAATTTAACATTATGTTACCATTCCAAATTCATTCATTTGGAAAAAAAAATAAATTTGGCATACATATGCTGCGTTTGAATATCCACATCTGATGTATTTTTTACATTTCAAGCGATTGTTTATCCACATTGGACACATCTGTCCTACTACAACTTACGTATGTTGAATCACATGATCAGAGATTCACATCTCAAATGCATCTGATGTGGATATTTAAACGAAACATATATGTTTTAAAAAGAATCTACATACTCAATTAAAATTATTATGACATTCTAAATATCTATGAATTATCCATAATTTATCAAAGCAATGACTTTGTAGTCTTCAATTATTTTTATTACACTATTATCATCACTGCATAGTTAAAGCCTTGTGATGCCCAGAATGTTTTAATTAGTATTTACCCACATGGTTATTTTTAAATTGGTTTCAAACTGTATGTATAAGTGAGAAAATAAAACTTGGAGATAAAATAATTCAAACTTTGCAAAATAACAAATTCGAAATAAAATGTTTCAATTTTGAAGTAATAGAGGAAAAATGATTCTTACGATGTACTTCCCATTTAAAAATGACCATATTTCAGTAATTTTTAGGCATACCTACCTATTTATATTTTAAAATACAACTATAAATTTTATGTTTATCTTTAAAGCAGTGATTATATCATTTCCTGTGTTTTTATACTTTTATTTAAGTAAAAAAATTATGTTTTTTCTGTGTTATTAATTTATCTCTCCTAAAACTTTTTAGAATAATTTCTTGTCCTTAATTTTCAGAAGCATGTAGTCAACTTTTGGGATGGGCTACAAAATTGGTAATTTAAAATGGTAAGGTCCGTTTAGAATTAGAAGAACACCGCTACGTCATAACCATTACTTCGAATTTCAGATACATATCTATAACTATCCAAAAATACAAAATAAGTAAGTTGTTAGATATACTCGTAAAACAATATTTCCTGTAATATTAAACCCCCAGTAGGCGATGACCAATTAATTAATTCTAATAGTAATCGGACCCTATATTAAAGAATTATTTTCTAGACAAGTTTTATAGTACAAGTGCAATAAAGGGACTTATCGATGGCTAGGAGATCAAATTTTTTTCTCCATTTTTGTGGAAAATAAAATATGTATGATTTTATGCCCTTTGATGTAAAATCGTTATGGTACCAAAATATTGTACCTCCACTTGAAACGGTTTACCAGTTAATAAAGCAATACAAATCATACAGCTCATCATAGCCACCTTGACATATTTGGAATTACATGGTCCTCGTAGCTATTGTTATAAAGAAGCAATGAAAATAGATACAATTTTGCCAAGTTGACAACTATAAAAATGTTCCAAACTGATATAGAATCTTCAGTATGAATAAAAAACAATCTTATATAAGAACACATTTAATTAAATACGAACTTGAATTGAGCCATTACAAATTTGGCTCAAAATATGTACGTTAAAATAATTCTTTACCTACTTTCAAATCTTAACATTTCATTTTCTTAAAGATAATTGAAAATTAACTAGAAAATAGACAAAATGAAAAAACAATAATAATTCTAATTGTAACGTTATATTAACTTTTGTAATAAGTTTAAAATTCAAAGTAAAAAAATACGTTTCTTTTATAGTTTAGAAAATTATGAAAAAAAATGTGATTTGTCTTTTGGTCATTTGTGATGGTAAAAAATTATAGTGTTCTACTCTGCATAAAACCAATTTCACACTATATGTGTAACTTGTGGCACAAGCGAATGCGAGTGTCACACTTTAAATTAATATTTTTTTCTTTTGTATGGTAGATAGTTGATACTTTGACATTTATTAAATATACTTGTCAGAATGTGATCTTTCAAATTTGGTAACAAATGATTTTTTTGGTAATTTAATAACACTGGTTATTTAAAATAAATATTGAAAATGAATGATTTAGTTCTGTAACATTTGTTTGTTTTCTATCTTATAAATGCAATATACGAATGGAGCCAGAAATACAAATTAAATTTTAATTAATAAAAAAATGTTATTAAATTACACCGGCCCACAAAAAAAAATTGTTTGTACATCAGACACGACCTACCTACCGGCATGTATTTTGACCCGCTGAATCCGAATTTTCAAGTCAGTTTGGGCCGTCCACCCTTCAATATCCACCCTTTCTATATCTCTAAAAACTGATGTATGAACTGAATGAGGCGAAATATTTTTTTTTTGTTGGTATCAAACTTTTTTGTTCTCAAATGACCTCCGCAGTATTCAGCGGATCGAAATACATAAGAATTATGCTTGGTTTCGATTCATAAATTTTTTTATTACTAATTATCTTATTTTTATTATTTTTAAAATTTACTCGATATTGAAGGGTGGACGGCCCAAACTGACTTGAAATTCGGATTCAGCGGGTCAAAATACATGCCGGTAGGTAGGTCGTGTCTGATGTACAAACAACTTTTTTTTGTGTGCCGGTGTTATTAGTCTGAAAAAAACAACCAATAATATTTGACTATCAAATGAATGGTGAATCATTAAAATAGCAAGATATCGTTTTCTCCACATATCGAAAAGACTGTCAAAGGAGCAAACCGCGCATAAATTTAGTAAGATCTCTTTATTTTACGTTAGTACGACCAAAAGTGGATTTTGCTTTCTATCATAAGGCAGGGACCCTAGACAGCATACTATATGCCACCAATCTGCCTACTTGCCAAAATATAGGTATTGCAATATTTATGAAATAAAGAATGTATTTCATATTCTACATTCTAGAAAGATATTCCAGCCATATGTATTTTTTTGATATGCTCAGCATATTCATTTTTAATATTTTATAGATATCTCTGTAGTATAGCCCAGTTTAAAATCCCTCTAAATTCCCCCTAAAACGTGATGAAATTTTTAATAGCTCTTAAGGATTTACACAGTGCGAATAAGCTTTATTTTCAGTAATCATTTTTTGATTAAATAGTATAGTAGCATAGAATTTTAATCGAGTTATTTGGAAGTCAGGGCATTGGGTGAATTGTCCGGTTAGATACGGCCCAAAAAGAAGAAGACTTAAATAAATGTTCTACCAGTTACACAATAAGGTTATTGACTAATAGTGGATTTGATTTGTTGCACTAGGTGTAAGATTTCTGCACTAATCGCATTTGATTTGTTCAGTGTAGCTTCAAATATTTGACAGTAGCACGCGTGTAGCATATACTTTTGACAAGTGTGACAGTTCGAATACAGTATTAAGTGTAACACTAGTGCAACAAAAACAAATCCACTATAAACAAGATGCAAAGAAATTCGGAAAATCATTATTCAACAAATGACACTATCAAGATTAGCGATCAAATCATAGAGGGCGACATTCTTCTTTTCGTGGGTCGCTTTCGTGAAGTAGTCATTTTGACTAAAAATTAAAAGGTGGAAAACCCCCCAAGTTGGCATCACTCTGATTGTCAGTATATCCCACTAACTCAAGTTCGTTCGTTGGTCGAGCGGTCTAAGGCGCGGGTTTTCGATTGCCAGACTCACCGATCATGGGTTCTAATCCCCACGGTTGAAAAAAAAAAGATTTTTTTTTCAGTAATTTTTTAATAATTAATCGAACTAAAAAGTAAAAAATAAATATAGTTTAAAAAAACTAAAAAACACGCTTTTATAATACATCGAACTAAAAAGTGAAAAATAATTTGAAAAATATATGTATAAATATCATTTATAAAATAAATTTACCAATTAAAAAACAACCATCAAAAACATGACATATGACAAGAAAAAGTGACAATTGACATAAACATAAACGTTCTGAATTCAGATTAGAGGTTCATAGTACTTTTCGTGGATACTTTTTTTAGCAAATACTTTATTACGTTGTGTTAACATAACAGGTAGGTTAAATAGGTAAGTAACAAATAGAAGTTTTGCGAGGTTTTGATTTCCCTTAATAACTTCTCATGAACGTTGCATTTACGTTGTATAGTAATGTTATTACGTACCCTTAAAGCAACATCGCCGAAAGGCTTGTCAACGTTATTTTCACGTTATACATTTTGACGGTAAATCCACGTTATTCATTCTACCTTTGCATGCACATTGTGTTACTTACGTTTATTACACGTTACTTATACCAACATCTTTTCCACGTAGTTGAAACGTTGTTTAAGTGGGGCAAAACTACGTAGTTAGCCATGTTGAAGTTACGTCGTTAGGCAACGTTACGTGGTGGTTTTTACAACCTTTTATTCACGTAATTATAACGTGTCTTGAACTGGGTAGTAGAACAGAAGTAAAAGTTGGAAATGCTTTTGCCAGTTCTCCCACTTTATACACATAAATTGACAGGTTGGCAGCGGATATCACCGAAGTGGACGCGATACATTGGCGTACAAAATTATTTTATAGATGTTAATAACAATTTCGAGTAAATAGTTTAATAAATTGTGAATAGCTGTTGAAATTTTGTAAAATTATGATTTGAATATTATAATACATGTTTAATAATTATTTATAATCCATAAATACATGCGATTGTCCGGTTCCGCCGATAACAATTTAAAATTACTTATTCTATGAAACGACACTGGCAGGTAAACATTACTGCGAAATTCTCGGAGCCGCCCGACGTGGTTTGACGTTTACCCCCTCTCTACCTACCAAAAGACTTTTCAACTTTTACTTTCTCTATATACCAAAAGTTTATGGACTGCCGTATAAAAAACAATGTAAACTCATTTTCTGGGAATGTGCTTTTGGTATAATATTTTGAGGAACTGATGGAGCAATTCAAACCTTTGTCATTATGGACACAATAATGTATTGTGTATGTCAAGAATCGTCATTTCCATAAAAAATAAAGTGAATATTGAAACTTACCCAAAATTAAAAGCATACCTACCTCAAAAAGCAATCAGATGTTTTTAAAAGCAGAAATGTTTCGGGTGAAATAAGTAAATATTTAAATAAAGCTCTTTATTCAAAATAGTATTAACAAAGGTTTGTATCTAAAACAATTTTTCTTCAGTTAATTTGGTATTTACAATATTTTAATTAAATGTATTTAATAAATGTAATAGATTATGAAACCTTTCTCGTTATTATGAATGTATGATTGTGGTTGGAGATAAAGTATAGTAAATTACTCGAATTGTAAGAGCACTTATAGGCTCGTAGATCTACTTTTCTACTTTTGTTATGTAATATACTATAACATGTCCTAAAATTCAATATATCTTCTCCGTAATGTTGGTTGCCTACGTAGAAGAGTGAATACTGGAAAAAATTCGCCTCAATAATCTGATTAGATAAATCTGGTGTTTGACATTACAATATCGTTATTAGTTTTTAAATAAGTAAAACCTAATTGAATTGAATTTAAAAAAAGTTCATTGCATTAACAAATTTGAAAAATACTAGAGATATTTATTGAACACGTGTATAGTTCACCAGGGCCGCCGAGAGCCACGCCGGGCCCCGGGACAATTGTCTACATCGGGCCCTGTCATAAAAAATATTAACCAAAACTTCGTTTAAAAAAAAAAAGTCCTCACCTCGAAAATTAATTTTCTCCTTACCTCAATTGCTTCTCCTTCTAAAAAAAAAAAATCTCGAAAAAAATCTCGAAAAAATATTTTCTCCCTACTTCCCTACTTCCCTACTTCAATTACCTCAGCCAAACCAAAAACACCTGTAACCTAATAAGTTAAAACTTTTCCTGTAACTTCTTTCAATCACATCACCTCCCCTTTCTCTTCTTATGTCAAATTTCTCATGCAGAAACAGAAATCCCTATTGTCGGGCCACCCTTATAGCGCTGCCGGGCCCCCATTTGAGCCCGGGCCCCGGGAATTAGTCCCGGCTACCCCCCCCCCCCTCTAGTCGGGCCAGTAGTTCACTCGCTAGAACAGAAGTAAAAGTTGGAAATGCTTTTGCCAGTTCTCCCACTTTATACACATAAATTGACAGGTTGGCACCGGGTCTCACCGAAGTGGACGCGATACATTGGCGTACAAAATTATTTTATAGATGTTAATAACAATTTCGAGTAAATAGTTTAATAAATTGTGAATAGCTGCTGAAATTTTGTAAAATTATAATTTGAATATTATAATACATGTTTAATAATTATTTATAATCCATAAATACATGCGATTGTCCGGTTCCGCCGATAACAATTTAAAATTACTTATTCTATGAAACGACACTGGCAGGTAAACATTACTGTGAAATTCTCGGAGCCGCCCGACGTGGTTTGACGTTTACCCCCTCTCTACCTACCAAAAGACTTTTCAACTTTTACTTTCTCTATACTTGAAAGAGAACTTGCAATTATAGAGAGGGGTACACGTCGATTATATATAAAAACGACAGGCCTATTCTTGTACAGGATGTTAGAATATTCGACCGGTAACGCAGTACCCCAGCTATCTCGGTAATTCATGAATTTTGATAGGATGGTGGTTACCTAGATACAGGGTGTTAAAAGTTTGAAATCAACATTAAAGATATGATGTAAATCAAAAATGCCTTTACCTAAATATTTTTTTTTCAAATTTGGTGACTTTAAGAAAGGAATGTTAATTTTTGCTATATTTTGGAAAACATTTATATTTCCGAAACAGTATAGGATGCACATAGTACATAAAATATGTCTAGAATTTTCGGAAGAATTAAAATTAAAATTGAAAAATATACAGGGTGTTGCATTTAAAATAAGAAAGTTGGTATTGGTCACTGTTACATAACACACTCTGTATAAAAAGTTTTTCCTAAAAAAATACATAACTAAAAAATACCAATCTATACGGGTCTGTGCGTTTTTCTGAATACAACCCCATTTATTTATTATCGAATTCCATTTGGCTGTACCACACTGTTTTAATATTATAAAATGGTAAGTAATATTTTCCCTTTTTACTTTTTCCATTTGGCTGTTCCACATTGTATAAACAAGCTTTAACAATTTTTGTACTTTTGTCTCTTAAAACTATTAGGTAATAGTTTGCTTTAACATTTTTAACTATGACCGTCTCACTATCGGTATCAGTATCACTAAAAAAAATTGAATGTTTTCGATGTTTTTGTGGAACACTTTCGGTTATGCGTTCCAATTTTCTCATTAAATGCCCCTTTTTTCTATTAAAATGATAATTTTCATCACTTCTATCACTAATCCTTTCTTAAGGTTATTCGAGAAAGCACAAAAATGTAATGAAATGAATGCGTAGGGTTGAGGCAGTAACGTAGCGGCTGATAAGAAAGTGTTTTGTGATTCACTCTTTAAAATTGTGCTCGATAAAGTAATAATGATACTACATGTATAATATCTATTTGGACGATTATGCGAAATATAATAAAAACGTTTGATGTCTGTTCAATTTAATTTTTTTTAATGGATTAGTTTAGCTAAAAGAAATTTCTCTGTGTGTAGGTACAACTAAAACAAAAGAGTTTCATCTATTTAACTTTATTAAAAATATACAAAAATGTTTACGAAAACTACAAATTATAATTTACAGCTAGTTATTTTGGAATTAGAATGTTCTTGGGATATTTGTGGAATATCTTATTGGCGAACTTTTTGAATATCATTGCTATGTTATCTTCGAGAACAGGTTTGATTTCATTGGCTATTTGTCTCCAGTTATCGTTTAGGAATAGATTCATAGCTTCACCTATAAATTAAAAAAGATAATGATATTAAATGAAAGAGAAGGGATAACATTAACGGAAGTAATAATACAAAGAATTGAAGTAACAACAACCTATGAATATCTCTCAGTGTAAAACCTAATCAAGGATAAAAATCTCGTTTTGGATAGGGATAAGAGAGGATGAAAGTAACAGAAATCTAATATGCTTTAAAAAATGCTTCAGAGAGAAATGGATATAAAATTACTGAAGAAGATGGAGTAAAAATAAATACTAAATATGATAGAGTGAGTGACAAAATAAAAAGACATTATTTTTGTAAAACAAGAACCAATAATGAATTGGATTGAAAACAAAATTAAATTTGTGCATGTTTTTAACAAGAATATTTATTGATATAGTCGTAAGAACAATTATAGAAACTTAGGGAGGAATTAACAGGAAATGAAAAAAGTGAGAAAACGGAAATAATGAAATTAATTATACAAGGTGTGTCATTAATAATGAGACACGGAACAACAAATGAAGATTCTCTGATTAAAAATGTGACAATTAAAAAATAAAACATACATAAAATATTACTCGTTCCCGAAATACTAGGTGTTAAAGTTGAAAATTTCAAGAGTTATTGACGGCTATAATTTTTTCATTTTTCAATATAATTTTACTAAATTCGATAGTCATTTTTGGTGTTATAAACCTATCAGCAAAAAAATCAGTTAAATAAACTTTACCATTGGTGTACGGCATAGGTAAGTAACACATCCATTCCTTCTAAATTTTACGCCACTCTCTAAAAACTTATTCGGACTATAATTTTGAATTTGTTGATATTTACAAATAAATCATATACTCTTTTTGGAAATTTATTAAAAAAACCAAAAACACAAATTTTAAATGAAGAATATCCAGCTATAATTGTAAATATCTGGAAAATCAATCACTTAAGTTCTTAACAAGAGTACATGATTTATTTAGAAAACATAAAAAATGTAAAAGTATAGTCCAAATAAGTTTTTAGACAATGGCATAAAATTTAGAGGCGACGAAGGTTTATTTAAGTGATTGTTTTGCGGATAAGTGTATCTTATGACATCAGCATAACCTGTACTTCGAAAATGACTAATATTTTATCTATGCATTTTTCGTTTAATCGTCTTAGTTTTAATCAGAGAATCTTCAGATGTTATGTGTCCTATTCTTAGTGAGATACCTTTGTATCTCTAGATAACAAACTCTATTTAAAAAATGAGGATAAATTAAGAGGAACAGCGGAAATAAATCCTTAACTGTAAAAAGAATAAGAAATAGGAAATTTAATAATATGACCATACCTACAAAGTAGCAAGATGAAATAGTACCAAATCCACTATCAAAAGCTTTCGTTTTTGGTACTCTTGGGATTTAGATGTTGTTTTTCAAAATAAAAATAAATTTTCTTAATTATTATTTGTAAAGTTTTCGCCCCTTGTTTCGCACCTTCTTCAGTACTTATCATTCTCATCACACAGTAGTCTGTGAAGAGTATTACAAGTTTACCAAATTAAAATTTTTGTACCAAAAATCCTTCGCATGATATTTAAAAAAACTTTTTAAAATGTTCGTCCGACCGTCTGTCCATTTTTTGTCCGCACGATAGGTCAAAACCAAAAAATATTATCAATTTTTCAGGAACAATCTAGCTCTATAACGGGACGAAGCCTACTGATTTTTAAAAAAATCTGATTAAGGGCAGATGAAAATAAAAAAAAATAAAAATGGAAAACGTTATCAACTTGAAATTTTCAAGGAAAATCAAGCTCTACAAAGGGGCGAAGCCTATAAAAAAAGTGGGGTTAAGAGGGTTGCAATTTAAAAAACAAAAATCAAAACCAGAGGGGTTGGTTAGCTCAGTGGTTAGAGTCATGACTTTGAGCTCGAATCCGGCCGGTGGCAGGGATTTTTATTTAATTTAATATATTAAATAATAATTCTTAATGCATAGGTAGGATTCCCTTCTTGATCTTTTACTGTTGGGGTTCTAATTAACAGTACTGTTCCTAATTTGGCACTGGGAAACAGTAACAAAGCCACACATAACACGAGGATAATAATCTAAGTAGTTGATACCGATGACACAAAAAAAAATCAAAAACCGAAACCGATATCAACATGAATTTTTTAGAAAACATTAAGCTCTATATGGGCTTGAAGTCTGTCGATTCGTAAAAAATTATGAATAAAACTGGTGGGAGGCTTGAAATATAAAAAAAATCCAACTCAAAAACAAAAAATGATATAAACTTTAAATTTTTAGCAAAAATCGAGGACTACAAGGCGACGAAGCCTATTGATTTTTAAAAAAATGTGATTAAAAATGGCGGGTTAAGGAAAGAATGAATTAAAAAAAAATATAAATTAAAAACGAACAAATCTCTATGAGGGGACCGAAAAATCTGAATAAACATGGGGCGTTAAGGGGGGTTGAAATTTAAAAAAAGATCAGAAATCAAAAAAAGAAAGCGATATCAACATGAATTTTTTTTAAAAAATCAGTTTCTACAAAGGGATGAATTCTGAAAAAAAAAATCTAAATAAAAATTAAGGATTAAGGGGATTGAAATATTAAAAAAGTAATAACTCTGAAACAAAAGCGGTATTCGCCTAAAAACTTCAGGAAAAATTAGGTTTCATGAGGGGATTATGCCTATCAATTTTGAAAAAAAATCAGACTTAAAATGGAAGGTTAAGACACCATCCTTCCGTCTGTTAAACTGTGAAGGATGTAATATACAATTCCAAGCATTATATCTTCATTCTAGTTTTATTTAATATTATTTAATGAGTCATTGAGTTTTATTATATTTATTTTCATTCTATTATTTAATTAGGACTGCATTATGCGATTATTAGGATCTTTTTTAATATAGTACACTTTATTATTAACAAAATTTATGTGGTAATAAATTATAGCTTTATTTTGAAAAACATCTATAACCCAAGAAAACCAAACATAAGGTGGAAGGACCATAAAAAGCATAGGATGTTTCTAAAATGAATAGTAAAATCAAGAATAATATCAGGAACTGTGTTATCATTTTAGACAAACGCTGCTGAGCCGTCAATTTTTAACTATCTTTCTATCATGTATCCTTAACTGTCATACGTGATTTGACTAACCTCTGCCACTCTAACGGTCTAACCAATACAATTTAAGTAGGGATGGTACCAAGCATGAAACATCATTGAAAAGATAACTTTATGGATTACTTAACACTATAGATCAGAAACCAGTTACTGACACCAGGATTTTGCGCAGTAGATAATTTGGTGGTCCTAGTAATCTAGTGCGCAGAATGACTGTTTTTAGAGTTAGTTATCACTTGTCAGAGAATTTAAAATGGCTGTTGCCTTAAATGTCAAATTATTCAAACAATTTTGAACGCCTGTTAAAGATTTTATTCACTACAGTTTTACAATATGTTTTATTAGTTTTCTCACTATACACTTTTAGCGATGAACAATCATTATCATCACTACTATTTCAAAATGTTAAGCATTGATTTACCGGTTGTCATCTAAAAGTCGAATTAACTTAAATTAAAACCTTATATTTTGACTGCAAAATAATTTGTAAAATGTTTTACTAAAAAATAAGAAAAAGTGGATTCCGAAAATGAAAATGAATTGTCTTTAACTCCACCAGAAATAAAAGAAGCTGCTGAAATTGCGACAAAGAATGTATTGTCCGAAAACCAAAAAAAATGTATGTGGCGGCGTATAAATTTTCCTTAAATTAGTCAAAGAAAAAAACATAAAATCGTATTCGGAATCTGTTACGTGGGTGTATTTTAAAGAACTATCCACAAAATATAAATCCTAAACACTAACGGACCCATTATTTAATGTTTAGAAGTACTGTCCAATCCAATATACATCAAGGAAAAATATAGAAAATCATGCGAAACTGCCAGCGTTATTTAAGCAAAAAGTTAAAGTATTTAACCAAAAAAGGCTAGTATTATCTGAAATAAATATTATTGATTTTCTTACTAAAGCATCAGACGACAAATACCTTGCAGCAAAGATAGGCCATTCTACGTGCTTTAATATATTTTCATGGATTCATATTCGCATTGTATTATTAATTACAAGAAAGTGACTTTGTTGACAAGTGACATTTGACATGTAACTATTATTTATTTAGATTCAAGCACAGAAATATGCTTAGGGCTCAGGATATATTAAAAAAAAAAGAAAAAACATTGAGTTCAATGTTCATGATTCGATGGTATGTACATACGAGTACAAGTTCTATCATTTGACTGTGATTCGATTCTGTGAGTTTGTTGTTGATTAATATTATTTTTTTGCAGTTTGCACTATTTTTATCTCTGAGAAAGTTGAAAGTTTTTCAGTGAATACTACTAAGCTAAGAGGTTAGTGCATTCAAAAAGCAGGGCAAACTTAAAAAACAGATTGTATTTTCATATTGATCTACCATTCGTTTTGAATAAGCAATTAAATTATTATCAGGTTCAGCTGAGAAGGCAAATATGACCAAGAAAAGAAACTGCGAACTGTATTTCTCTATTTAAGCTTGTGAAAATGTCCATGGAATGTTCTTAAATGGACGTCCTTAAGACATGCTGATAATTAACAATGGACGTTCCAAAGACGTCCATAAGACGTCCACGTCCATGAAATGGACGTTGTAAGGATGTCCTAAATGTCCAAGCAGGACATTTTTAAAACATCCATAAGAAGTATTTATACTATCTGAGAGGGTAACGGAATCATATAATTTTACATGGACATATTCAAAAGGGACCAAATATTTTTAAATAAATAGGCTTAAGAAGTAAGGAGCCCAAGTATTTTACATGAGCAGGATTAAGAGGTAAAGGGGCCAATTATTAATAGATAAATTATTCGAACAAGTTGTAAACCCTAATCAAAAGGCGATATAAAATGGTTTTAAAAATCAAGACTTGTGATAATCATCACATGGTGTAACCTAAATAATGGCAATGCTTCACAAACCTGAAAATGAGCCTTACTACTATTGGATTTCAGTCGAGTTTATCCTTGTGGGTCGATAAGGTGAGATCCACCAAGTTAGCGTCTCTCAAATGATATTTGGTAGTGTTGTGAATTAAATTTTTAATTAAAATAACTTTCAAATGAAGTGTCACACTTTACAATATTTAACAGTTTTTTATCCTGCTAACTAAAACCAAAAGTAACGCAATGCATAGTCATACGTTTAATTCTCTATAAAATGACATACTCGGTATTTTCCCTATTTAAATTGTGTTGACTAGAGTGATGGAGGGGAGGGGAATAACATATAACATGACATGATAAAAATATGTCCCGTTTTTGTGGTACTGGTTCTGGTACGTTTTCGTCTGACCAGCCTGTATATAAATATATTATAGAATTATAGGTATCAAATAATGCGTATTCAATAACAATATCAAGTTAATAAATGCAAAAACAAAAAAATATATTGTATAATTTGAACTAAATAACAATTCATTATGCTTTGAAGTTCTTATATTTCATCGAGCTCGAAATTAATACTGGAATTTCATTATCTAGAAATGAATTTACGGAACCGAAAAGTAGGTCAAATTTTTAAAACTTCTCTTGAATAATGTAAAAATGTGTGAAAATATGAATTAAAATGCGATGAGAATTTAAATTAATTTTCCATACATACCTAAGTCTTTGTCGCCATTGAAGAGATCGTCTAGATGAATTTTAGCATCTCCAATATCAAAATTGACGTAAAAGTCCTTAACGTTGTAGTAAATGTTGTCGCCTTTTTTAATTTGTTCGGCCCTGAGGATGACAGTGGCTTCAATGTTTGCTAAAATAAAAACGAAAATTCTAGTTAATTTCAACTTCCGATGAAATTATTTTCATCTCGTATTTTCCCTTAGATGGAATAGGCGATATAAGTTTTTCTTCTGTTCTGCAATATTTAAATCTCCTTTTAACTCATATTGTTGCTATCATGATCCACCAAATTGTTCTGGATCTCATCTCATTCCTGATATAGATGAATGGAACAAGAGTGCAATTCACTAATTTATCTAGTTCTTTAAGCATTTTTAATCGACTATAGATGACGTAATAGAACATAACAAAACAAATTACTACTTACAATAATTCGCAGTACTCAGTCCAGACCCTGCTATGGGCATCATAAGAATTTTGCCATCAATACTGTATTTGCAGCTGACTTTTAAGCTAGGAATCCACAGTTTTATTCTCATTTTATCTTTTTCTAGGTCAACCCTGTAAAGAATTTCGGTATAGTTAGTAAAAGTTCAGCCACGTTTGAGCCCTAGACTAGACCTAAATGGACTAGGGTTTCAAAGTGTTAAAGAAATGCCATACAAAATCTTACTTGATATCCTTGATAGTAAATTTCGAAGGACCGTACACCTTGATATCCTTGTAAACAGACCGAAGAGATACAGGTCCGGATCCTTGATCGATGATGACTTCCGGAATTATAAGCGGTTCAACGCTTGGAATATCCAGATCCGGTATACCTTTAACTAGTAGAGGTCGTAATTCTTCTACTGATTTTTTAATGCATTTCGCTAAATTTGCATCAGATTGGTGACAAATTTTAAAATAAGATGCTGAAAGAAGATAAATAATTCTGATTAGATATTTACAATATTTACAAGATTTACGGCTATATGTACAGGGTGTTTAAACTTGGAAGCTACTAGGCATAGACATTTGGGGAATACATGATTAAAATGACCATGAAAAAATTATGGTAATTATTTTTAGGTGCCGTATTTGGCCGCACTGGTAAAAATTAAAAAAATTAAAATTTTCCGAAATATCTCACATCAAGGTATATCTTTGGTAAAATCATTGGAAGGCTTAGACAATTCTGCATTATTTTGGTCTAAGGTCCATTGGCGTACTGATCTTGATAAGAATGGGGAAGTTATTGAAAGTGTAATTATTTAAATTGCTGTGCTATCTAAACGACTTGCCAGATTTTAGTAAACTGAAGCTTGTTGGGAAGAAAAAAGTTATTATTTTCAAATTTCATATTTACTAGGACACGATAGTTCCTAATAAAATTTCTAGAGGGCCCAATTTTAAATAAAAAAATAGTTTTTTATTTTATCCCGAAAACTTAAACGATACAGAAAAACGCGAAAACCGCAGTTCCATATCTTCGTTATATCTTCGAGTTATTGCCAAATTTTGATAAGTTAAAAAAAATATTCTTTTGGCAATAACTCTGATACGAACAAAGATATCAAACTTCAATTTTCACCCTTTTCTTGCAAATTTAATCTACTTTCCGATTATGACGTAATATGCGTACCAGTGGATACGTCAATTAAAAGTTCTTCCAAACAAGCTTTAGATTACCAAAATCGGATAAGTCGTTTAGAAGTTACATGATTGTATTTTCAATAACTTTCCCCACTCTTATCAATATCGGTACGCCAATGGGCTTTAGATCAAAATGATGCAGATGTCTAAAATTTGTAATAATTTTACCAAACATAAATAAATATATAGTACATATATATTGATACGGAAATAAATTACGTCATCAAAATTGCCAAATTGCACTATGCTGGGTTAGTAAAGTTTTCGGAAATAAAAGTTTAAGTAGAAATCAGGATGTTGGTAGTTTTAGATCGTTGATTTTGAAATTTTCAGATAGAAAAGGAATTGTCAGAGTGCAAAAATTGTAAAATACATGGATTTGTAGCTAGTAATCGTTGAACTGAGATATTTTAGTTAATTTTAACCTCCAGGTTAAAAGGTTATTTACAACTATGACGTTTACATTTTAACCCCTAAATGTCAATTCGATATTTTATCAATTTAATTTTGTATTAGCTTCTTTATTTCCCCCAGAGTTTTAAAAAAGTTACAAAAACATAAAAACATAAACAAAAAAACAAAAGATTAAAAAAGGAGTATTTTGGAAAGAAATCAGAGGTACAAGGAGCGCAAAGTGATAGAAAGTAAATAGATGGACGAAGGGAAAAGAGAGGTAAACAAAGATAAGAACTGTATGAACAAAGGAAATAACAGTATGAAGAAGTGGAAGAAATATAACAAGGTAGTGTGAAAGAAATAGAAGAACAAAATCTAGACAAGATAATTATAGAAGAAAATAAAATAATAATGACAAAAGTAAATGAGACAACTACCATAGGACAGAAGTGATAAAGAAAAAGACTAAGATAAAGAGTAAATAGAATAATTGAATAAGTGACATTCTACATATTTTAATGCAAGAGATACACGAAATGAGAAGAGAAATAAAATATAGACTAGATAAAATTAAGACACAAGGAAAGGAGACAAGTGCAATAGAAGACAAAAAGAAGAAGACCAGGATACAGAAAAGGTAAACAATAGGAATGAACGGTATCCTACAGAATTTAATGAATGAGATGCAAGGAATGGGAAGATAAAGAAATATATATGATAAGATAAAAAGAGCTTATTAAGCAAATGGTTAAAAATAGTAAGAAAATGGATGGATTCTAAAAAAAGATAGGGGAACAGATGAGTAAGAGCAAAAGTAAGAAAGAAGACAATTCAAGAATTAAAACAAAAAAACAAGGAAGAAATGGTTAGATAAATAGAGGAATTCAAAATAATACGATCAAAAGAAACAAGCTTAGGCAAAATTTTACTCGTTTTCGAAATACATGATATTAACATTGAAAATTCAAAAACTAATAATGGCTATAATTTAACAATTTAACTAAATTAGGCAAACGTTTTTAATGTCATTAGATACACCTATCAGCGAAAATATTAGTTAAATTAACTCGCCAGTGGCGTACGGCATGGTTAAGTAACACTCTAATCCCTTCTAAATTTTACGCCACTGTCCAAAAACTTATTTGAACCATAATTTTATTTTTTTTTTATATATTTTTTACTCAAATTATGTATTCTTGTTGGAAACTTATGAAGTGGTTGGTTTTCGAGATATTCGCATACAAAAGTGGATTCCCTTTACTTTAATTTATTTTGAATTTCTGAAATTTTGAAATTTTGATTTTTTTTTAAATTTTCAACAAGAGTACATGACTTATTTAGGAAAAAAATTAAAATTATAGCCCAAATAAATTTTTGACAGTGGTATATAATTCAGAGAGGATGAAGGTATTACTTACTAATGGCATACGCCACTGGCAAAGTTTATTTATTAACTTATTTTTTGCTGATAGGTGTATCTTAGTAACATTTTACCTAAGCATGTTTTATTTAACCGTCTTCTTTTTAATTGGAGAATCTTCAGTTGTTTTATGAAATCCTTAATTGAACACCCTGTATAGAGAAGAGAAAATAAAAACAACAAAATAAAATAAAAGAGTGGAGGTGATTGATAGAATAACAGAAAACGAGAAATTGCAAATTTGAAATTGCATCAAAGAAAGAAAAAGAAAGAAATAAAGGAAGAAGTAGAGAAAATTGCAAAAAGATATAAAAATAGAATGAACAAACAGATAGAAGAAAATGTAAAAGAGGTAGAACAAAATTATTGACAAACAAAAAGAAAGGGATAAAAATTGAAAAGAAAATAGAAGAAAAAAATAATGAATGAAAAGAAAATCATGAAGAAACACAGATAAGTCAGTTTAAAATGATAAAAAGGAAAATAAAAAAAAAATAAGTAGCAATAAGCAAAATTTAAGAAAAACGGAAACAAGAAATCTAAAATGAAAATAAAAATAAAATGGGGGGTGGGTTGGCTCAGTGGTTAGAGTCATGACTCTGAGATCGGAAGGTCTCAGGATCGAATCCCACCGGTGGCAGGAATTTTTATTTAATTAAAAAAATTAAATATTAATTCTAATGCATAGGTAGGATTCCCCACTCGACCATTCACTGTTGGGTTCTAATTAACAGTGCTGTTCCTAAAGTGGCGCTGGGAAACAGTAACAAAGCCTACACAGAACACGAGGCTAATGGCCGCAGTAGTCGACGCTGATGACACCAAATTAAAAAAAAAAAAAAAAAAAAAAAAAAAAAAAAAAAAAAATAAAATGAAAAATGGAGAAATGGAGAGAATATTAAAGGGAAAAAACTTTTTGGAAATATTTCTGAAGTACGCCTTAGAAAAATTCACGCATATGGAGCTTACAATTCTTCCTTTTAAGTGTCAGTTTTGATTTAATTCAGAGCTGTGCGTAGTTATCACGGATACGTCTCGTATCTCTGTCATTACCGGTCATGGCCTATTTTAGAAAAATTTTTTTGTGGAACACTCTTTATATTATTTCTATGGTTTTTGTATTAAAACTCCTTGCAAAACAAATGGAATTTGTCTAAAATTAAGCAAATATTAATAAAAACAGGTAAACAGTTAAAAAATTTAATTTGATTAACAGAGTACATGTACAGTCTACCCTGTATGATAACAAAACAACCTTTATCATCGATTTTTTTTATTAAGACGACGTCACATCGTCAATATAACGACGTCATTCATGTTCATCAAATGTCAAATTATTATTCAGACGATTCTATTCATATCCCGAAATTTCATTTAAAAATCATGAGTGGTTTAAAAGTAATTGCTTTTCAAAAAAAATTGCGAGACACAATTTGGTAATGGAAGATCGTTATTAAATACATTTGAGATAACTGAAGCGGTTTTTGAAAATTGCTTGTGAATATTAAGCATACTTTGTAAAAAAAGCGTTTCTAATTAATATATTAGAAGTAAAAATAAATGAATATAATTTAGATTTTTTTGAGGGACATTGAAAGTTATGATAATAAAAAACTGATGTGAGATTAGAAAAACATTGTGCGGTTTGTTTTAAATATAGCAGTGAAAATGTATTCTGATTTTTTAATCAACTTTTCATCTTGAATACAATCCATGTAGGTACTTTATAAAGCGCTTTAGGTTTTGAGTAAATTACAAAATCATAGGCAAATAAAAAAATAATTACGGACTGAATTCAAAATTTATTAAATTTTGAGTATTTATTAATTATTACAAACATTTCATTTTCATTTTTAAATAGTTTTTACAAATAAGTAGGTATCTAGTATTTTGCGTTAAATTTCTTTTTAATTTTTAGTGTCAAAACTGCTTGTTAACAACTATTTAAAAATGTATAATAAATTGTTTATAATTAATAATTAGTCACCGTTTATTAAATTTTTATTATTTAATGATTTTTTGTTTTTTATAGATTACAGGCAATGGTGTAAAGAATAATCCATAAAAATTGTTTCTAAAGTAGGCCATCATATAAAACATGTCGGTAAAAACTACGCATGGGTATGAATTAAATCAAAACCAACGCCTAAAAAAGAAAGAAGAATTGTATTCTCCGACATAAGTGAATTTTGCAATGGCACACTTTAAAATTAGTATAAAAAATTCCAGGTTCGTACTTAATATAATTAACATGATTGTTTATTGGGAATAAAGGTAGATCGAAAAAGTAGAGCTAAGAAAACTCCTGAACAGTAAAATGGAAGAAAGTAAATAAACCAGAACGTCTAAAATAGAGAGTAAAAACAATAATGATAATAATGGTACAAACCAATAAAAACTGAATAAAGAAAGTTAAGAAAACTAATAAACAACAAAAAGTAGAAAATAAAGTGAATGAAGCACAAAATCTAAAATCCAAAATATAACTTACGTAATTTGGGCACTGTTGCACCAAATGCACCCTGGTACAAACATTGTTGAAGAACAATACAAAAAATTACTTTGCACAACATTGCTAACCGATTAGAATCAACTAACTTTTCATAGATGCAAGAATGGTTTGATTAAATATCTAATTGTTAACATTGTTTTATTGATCGTATAATTATTATAAACAAAAAACTGTTTTATAAACTATTAGAAATGTAGTTCAAGATCATGACTAAATTGACACATAATAGGTTGGTATTTATTAAACAATTACATGTAAAAAAATAATTAAAATATACAGAGAGTTAAATTAATGAACATTATTTTTTGTAAAAAAAAAATAAAAAAGTAGTCAATATAAGACAATAAGCCATAAATAGTCCCTAGGGAAGTATCATGTACAATTTTACGTTTTCATGTCAAATTAAATTAGGAAAATCAGAATATTTTCAAAAAGAAATCTCTTCTATAGTAGAATCCACTAATAGTAGTCAGTAAAAGAATGCCAAAAATGTATAACAGAGTAGTATATTATTGCTGAGTTCGGGCAGCTCATTACGCTTACGCGGAGTCACTCTATCGTATTCTGTTCAAATTACACTTGTCAAGAGACCCGCGTTTTTCTCCATGTTGTGAAGGTGCAGGTATATTTCTATTTTGCATTGCAATTTGGAATAATGATTGAAATATCTACTCGATGCTGCTGTTATGGAATAAAATGGTATATCGTAAAATAATAAAATATTGCTTATTGAAGAAAATATTTCTCTATGAAAGAGAATATTAAAAGTTGCTGGTTTCAGACGAACATTAAATACAAATTGATCATCATATTCATATTGGTAATGTGTTTTCGATATAATTATAAATGTATTCCCCCATCATTGTCAAAATCATTATTATTATTGATGAAGGCTGAGGACATAAGTCCTAAAAAAAAAATAGAAAAATTGGAACAAAAAGATGAGAACACTAAAAATTAAATAATAATGTTAAACAAATACTCGTCTAACTTATTTTTAAAGACGTTAACTGTTGGAAAGGAATGATTGTCTGTGCTTCGTTCTTAGGTTTTCATTTTTTAATTTTAATTCATGACCACGTAGACGAGAGTCAGTATTTAATAAAAAAATGTCACTAAGATTTCCGTAATTATATTTATAAGTATTCTAAAAGTTAGAATCAAGTACTCTCGCAGTCGACGATTCGCAAAAGTTGGTAAGTTTGACAATTGTAGTCTTTCCGGGTAAGATGGTCGAACTGCTCGGCGTTGAACATTTTCTAAAAGGTTCTGGTCTCGCACAAGATGCGGACACCAAACTACACCTGCATATTCTAACAAAGGTCGAACATAAGTCTTAAATAATTTGATGGATGTATGAAAGGATACCTTTACAGAAGACTTTCGAATCAACTATAACATCGAATTTGTCCGTTTATATGTTTTTAAAATGTGTTCAGACCATGTTAGTTTTGACTGAAACACCTATATCTACATATGAAGACACTTGCGCCAAATTATGGTTACCGAGCGAGTAACGAAGACGTGGATTATTTTTGCCGATATATAACTCCACACACTTGTTTATATTTAACGGAAGAAACCAGTCCGAGCACCAATCACTTATTGAATTTAAGTCAGCTTGAATATTATCGTAGTCTAATAAGAGGTTTCCGTAAAATTTTATGTCATCTTCATAAAATGCTCTTTGAGACTCGATATGGTAACCTAGACAGCACAAGTCAATCCATTGGATGTCCATCGGAAGTTCATTGGTGGACATATTGGCTGTCCAAGTGTCCAAAGGACGTCCACTGTCTAGCATTTTACCGAAGGACATCCAATGGACATCCATTGGACTAGACAAATGTCCCACTCCTGGATGTCCATTTGGACTCCATAAACGGTCCATCTATGGACACTTTTTGATGGACATCACCACCTACATTAATAATAAATAAAATAATTTCAACTATGAACATGTTTTTATTGTCATAAATAATAATATCAAGCATGCATTGGTTTTATACACAGTTCTTTCCGTTATACTTCTTAGCCATTTTCTTAAGTCTATTTTACTTACTTTTTAAGCAATACCAATGTCGCTCTCAGCAGCAGCTAAAAAAGGCATTACATTTTATACGAATATTGAGTCTTAAAATCAATCTTTTTAATAAATGTCTGATCAAGCAAAACTGATGGTTAAAAATGTAAAACTAATATAAAAATATGCATTGACTAATGTACTTTACCCCTGTACTTACATGTAAACAAAAAACTGCTCATTATTTCTTTAAATGACCATTTTACTTTCATACCATCAGATTATGTGCATTCTTTTCTAAGGCAACAAAACATATTTTTATTAGTTCGTACATATCTTAGCCCTTTGGTACCTGTTGAATCTAAAATTGCTATAAAAATATGTATTTGTGAACATTAAAGAGAAATAACTTAAGACATCACTATCAATGCATTATTTCTTAAACGTTACAAAACGCTTCTACTTTATTTAATGAAAGTAACACTTACAGCTTTTTTAAAAATATTTCAATTTTCTAAATAGCCTTTTACTTCTGCTAACGTCTCATGCAATACAAATTGAAACTTGAATTTTTTTCTTCTGCTTTAGAGGGTTTCTCACCTTTATTAGTTACAATAATAATTGTGTTGACATCATCTCGAATTTGCTGCATATTAGTTAGCTTTTAATAAAGCCATTTTCTTAAGTAGGTACATCATTTGACAACAGGTCTAAAACGAAGGGATTCTTTGAATGTAAATCAAAAATATATAGTTTAAAACATAATTGTTAGGTTACATTAGTTTAAAACAAATGATTTAATTCTTAATTTTTGGATTTTTAGATAATTTAATGTTAATTATACTTATTTTCTTACCAGATAACAAACTCGTGATATCTGTGGACCGTTCTTGTCTCTTATCTTAACCCCTTTCTTCTTCTTTTCTGCTTCAAGTCTGGCCTGAATGGCCTTTTACTTTTGTATCTCGTCAATAGTAGCGAAGAGGTAAAGAAAATTAATTGGTTTATTTTAATTAAAACCTAGTTGTAAATAATTAAATTATACTAGAAGAATTATAATAATTTATTATAAGTTTGTCATTTTTATAGTGTCCATCATGAATATTTTTTGGACATCCGTTGGACTTCTGAATGGGTATACCCATTGGAATAACGGAAAAAGATGTCCAATAGACATCCATATGAAGTTCATGGACATCCAGGACGTCGTGTGCTGTCTGGGAAAGTAGATCGCTCGAATAAGTTATAAAAAGAAGCGGACCCAGTATCGAGCCTTGGGGGACACCACGAATCTGATGAGTCAGACTGACCAACTTTGACTCGAAAGCTCCTATTTCCTAGATAATTGTGAATCCATGACAGAAATTTTCCTCGAATACCAATTGACTCGAGTTTGTGCTGCAGTCTGACGTAAGGGGCCCTCTCAAAAGCCTTCGCAAAGTCGAGATAAATTACATCAGTTGGTTGTTTTGCATTCGAGTGAGCGAGATCAATCGTTAATGCAGCATAAAAGATTTGTTGTGGTAGATTTACCTTTAACAAAATCGTGTTGTTCCTTTGGTATTACGTTATGCTCTTTGAAAAAGTTAGTTCTGACATCAACTACGATGCTTTCTATGATTTTTGATGGGATAAACAGAAGGCTTATAGGTCTGTATTTGAAGCATCTATTTTGTCACCCTTCTTAAATATAGCTGTGACTGACGCAATTTTCCATAAGTCGGGTAGAGTATATTAATTAAAAGACATGGTGATTGTGGAAAGCGGGCCAGACAATGTGTTTGCAAACTTTTTTAAAAAGAAATAACTTAATCCATCAATACTAGGAAAAGAGTGGTTCTTCAACTTAAGTAATTTATTTCTAACCTTTTCGGGATTAAATTGCACTTCAATCAGACTGTATTATGTATCCTCGTGGTTATTATATGTGGTAGTGCGGTAGTGGCAGGTTCATTTGTAAATACAGAAGTAGAAATGTTTGCCAGAATTTCCGCAGTATCGAAATCTGTAGAATATAAAGTACCGTCTGGGTAACGCAATAAAGGTACACTTAGTTTGGAACATAAATTTGAACGCATATATTTGTAGAATTTTTTGTGATTTTCTGAGTTAAATGTTTTCTTCATAGTCTTTTCTCGCTGAACGAATGGATAGTTTTAAGAAATTAGAGAAATTTCTGTAAGAACGGAAGTTCTGTATATTTTTAGAAATGTTGTACTTGTTCTTTATATTGTACTGCAAATTTAACAATCCACATTAATTAATTTAATTCAACCGCAAACATAAAAATAAGCTTATTATTTTATAGGTTGTTTATTAAAATTTCCAAACTTCTAAACAGAAGTAGCGTTCAAATTAATACGATTAATTCTTTTGACTTCAATGCCACGTGACTAAAATTTACTTCTGCACTAACTCTACTCCGAGTTTTCCGCCTGGAGCTGTATTCAGGAACTATAGGAAAAAGGAGTGGGAACACTCTCTCACGATTTGGCCTTGCTGCGCATGTCACTTAACAAAAATTATAAGGAATCATGTCAACGACGAGAGCAGTGTTGCAAGACACATGATAATTATCGTATTTGTACGATACGTTGAAAAAGTTGAAGATTCCCTATTTTTCAAAATTTTTATTTTCGAACTTACGAGCTAGATTGAATTTCTGTTGCATGCACATGTTTTTGTAATATATTATTGCATAGGTACAATTAAAATTATTTTTAATTACAGGTTGATTTACAAATGTATGACAATAGTTTTTTGCAAAAGCTCAGTAATTCTACTGTAACGTCAGGGAAGAACATTTTCAAAAAGTACTACTCAATATGGTATTTTGTCGATCAAATATTGCACATTTTCATTTCTTATAGTTACATAGTTATGTAGCTATAGTGAGAACCACAAACTAAAATGATTTTTTTGAGGATTACTTCAAAACCCTGTACTTATGAATTGATTTTTAGGAAAAGTAATATCATAAAAATATGTGTACCTCTAAGCTTCAAAATATACAAGACGGCTTATTTGTTGAAAGATATTCTATTTTAATAAAAGTACAAAAACCACGAACACCCTAAAATTTCCCTGGTAAAATTTAATAATTTTCTCGGTAGGTATGTAA